CCGTGGCGGCCATATTGGATTTCTGATCGACCCGAAAAATAACAACACTTTGTCAGGACCATGAGGCGATCATTCCTACCAACTTTCAGTTCAATCGGTCCAGCAGAACTTGACTTTAAGTTTGAAATGTAAAATGTTAACGGACGACGGACGACGAACGACGACGGACGAAAACGGATAGCAATAGGTCACTTGAGCTAAAGCTCAGGTGACCTAAAAACTCATCCGTGTCATATTATTTGTTAATAAATATTATTCATTTGGCTATTCATGTATTCTTCCTTATTATTTACATATAAAAAAAATCCGGAAAATATATACTTTCAATTATATCTAGAGAGTCAAACCACATTAGGCTGTGAACATTTAATTTTTCCTGTTCATGTTTTTTTCTCTGTACTTATACAAAGATAATTATAAGCTGTGGTCCTTTTAAGGAAACATTTTGTAATGTTCCCTTATCATGTTATAGTAAATTAAATACAGAGTATATTTACAACAAGTGTGACTGTTACATGTAACAAAAAGGATATTTTTACTCTTTTACCAGATGTCCATGATAAATAATATAAAATATAAAGATATTTTTTCCAAAATGATCTTCTTTGCAAAACCATATCACTTGGACATATAAATATGGTCATTTCCGGGTTTTGACAGCTGAAGTAGTCAGAAACATACATTTTCTCTTCATGTTACATACTGGTTAATGTAATATTTCCCTCTGTCAAATGAGATTTGATATTGAGCGAAATTTACTGTATTATGAAAACTACAGGCAGGCGTGTTCATGAAATTCTACCCCAAAACAGTAAAGCTGTTCTAAGTTCAATTGACACGTGAGACAATGGCCATTTTCTCCCTTACATACATTTATAATGACCAACTGTGACACGGAAACAAGATACAGTGTCATGGTTTCACATGGTTGCTCCTGCATGCTATGTTTCATGATAAAATTGATAATCTCAACAATAGTAATATGCACTCTGAAACTATCACGTGATCACTCGGCTATCATATTAGCCCGAGTTTCCTCTGACCCTGACAGATGTCTGGTGTCATATAGCATATAGCAGTGCGTTCTGGCCCCACACCAGACACATATCTGTCAACATGTCTAATTCTGGTGTCAGGACCAGAGAAAACTCGGGCTATTATCATATATGGAAATGTGGAAATGACAAATTGAGCGAGATTTATTGTTGTTTGAGTAAAAGTCCACACTTGTATAAATGATACTGAGGGATTACGTGCCCATCCCGCTTTTGAATTGTGAGTGTGCATTGTACATTGTACGTATACCCAACACAATAACGATGTACTTACATTCAGCTCATATTTTGTATATCACCACTGACGTTGTTTGCGTCTCCAAACTGACGTAATATGACGTTATCCTCAGTACCATATATGCAAGTGTGGAATTTTAATCAAACATCAATAAGTTTCGTTTAATTTGTCAATTTATCTTCATGGAAATTCTGCTTGAACAATATTTATATATGATACAGTGACCATAACATTTACTTTTTGGTTTCATGTTTATGTTCTATATCATCCTTAATTGTTAAGTTCATCAGCAAACCAGATCATTACATAAGTCATTATGTATACAGTAGATCGAAATTACAGTATAAAACGGAGACAATACACATATTTCGTAATATTTTTTATTAAGTTATGCAGATTTATTGATTAAATTCTGATCGCTTAAGAGATATAATTTTGCTAACTACGTTACTAAATTGTGCTAACTACTTCACTAAATTGTATTAACTATTTCACTTAATGCAAAATATACTTCTGAAAAAGATTAAAACACGTATCATCGTAATAATAAGAATTAGTCATGAGTCCATTAAAGTCAATATCATATCAAACTGAATATATTTCTGGATTGATATAATGATATTAATTTTCTGATACATACCTGAACTAACACGTGAACAGTTAAGTCCGAGTGTCCAGGTAAAACCAAGGTGCAGAGCACCCGATACTCAACACGTTAATTTACATAGCCGTTGACGAAGAGATGCGCGCACACTAGCTAGCCCACAAATCCTCCCAATACAGGTACAGTTATGCACTTGGGAATGTCATTTACATCGCCAATGACATCAACTAAATTTAAAGTACAGAGTATATTTGCAACAAATGTGACTGTAACATGTAACAAAATGGATAATTTTCCTCTTTTACCAGATGTCCATGATAAAAAATATAAGGATATTTCATTCATTAATAATCTTTGATACGGGAAATTGGCCAGCAGCATTGAACATATTTGTTTAAAATACAAAGAGCGCTCAGTATCTAGTTACTATACATGTACTTGATATAAAGGTTATTTAATTTCAAGAAAGTTTGTTTAGATTCTTTAAAACTCTTTATCATTTTCACATATTAACATACTCGAAAAATAAACTCCCTGTTGAATGAAGACGATTGCCGACCGAAGACGTTTAATAATCTTATTAAAAATGCCATGTAAACTGAACATTATAAGCAACTCATTACAAATATCTTTGTGGAACAATAGCCCTGCAGATCAGGGATGGATCGAGAAAAAGACTACACCTTCTGTTACCAAATGAATGTATCGTAATAGGCGATTGAGGGGGAACTCCCTGCAGAATTGGGGATTCGCTTCTGTGCCTTATATTTGGGGACATAGAAGCGACCAAAATAAATCTGCTGCACTCATTGCAATATTTTGGATCTTTATATTTCTCTCCATTTTTTCTTACCTTTTATTTTTTGGCAATACCTCACTTTTGGCCTTGATGTTGAGCGTTCGCCCAGGTCAGAAAGGCGATGGGTTATGTATCCAGGCCGGGATATACCATGCAAGTCCATCAAATTGGTAGTTGTTATTCCCAGCTTAACGTTCAGCATTTAGGGTAATGGCAATAACTGGTTCATCTGTTGTCAGTACAATGTGACCGGGTGGAATGCTACGCTGGGTGCCTTTGGCATGGTATTTCAGTGAATTAGCACTATAAAGCCGGCATCAGACCGCACTATTTCAGGGAGGCAAATACACCAACAACTTAAGGTAATTCATACAGGCTCATGTCAGTGTATATTATATGTGATGGGCTCATAACTTTTCCTCAATATGAAAAAAAACTATCTACTTGCAAATTATCATCGCCATATGCGTCGTAGTTATTTAGAAGAAGTTTTCAAAGCTTTAAACACATTTGGCTCCTGTGACTTTCAATATATGTCAAGGTCATTAAGTTGAGGAAACTTATATTAGTAGCACTACATCGTAGGTACATTATAACTACTGGGGAAATATCATCAACCTGGGTCTCTTGGTTATTTAGAAGTTGTTTAAAGATATTTATATATTTCACGCTTGTTGCCTTGGAAGTAGGTCAAGGGCATTTATTTGCGGAAACTTTATAGCACTCAATCTCAGGTTCATACTTGCCAAATATTTTGCTCTATGCCTCCTGGTTATTAAAAAGGTGTTTATACATATACATATTTGACCCCTGTGACCCTGAAAGTAGGTGAAGATTTATTTGAGGAAACTTTATAGCACTCCAATTCAGGTACCTACTGGCAAAATATCATGACCCTAGGTTCTTAAGAGGAAATCGTTTAAAGAAAAAGTTGACGGACGATGGATGACGGACAACACACCATACCATAAGCTGAACTGGCACTTCGTGCCAGATGAGCTAAAAAACAAGAGGCCCAAGAGGGCCTGTATCGCTCACCTGAATATTTAAGCAGTCATAGCAAAATATTCTCATTAAATATTATATTGCACTAAAAATATTTCCCTCGCAAACTTTTATGGCTTCATCTGTTGAAACTACCAGCAAAATATTATTATAAGATTCTATGCTTTTTTCTTCTTCTTCAGAAGTTGCTTGACATGTTTTTTCTTGTGACCTTGTAAGTAGGTCAATGTCATTTTCCTTCTCAAATTGGTTAGCTCTATTCCAAAAAGCTACCAGCCAAATCTTGTGAATCCATTTCTTTTAGCTCTTCCATCGAAATCCTTTAAAATGTTGTTGACATCTGTGACCTCTAAAGTAGGTTGAGGTCATTTTCATTCGCAAACTTTGGTAAGCTCTATCCCAGGAAGCCACCAGCCAAATATTATAATTGTATGCCTTTTAATTCTTCAGAAGAAGTAGTTTGAACCGTTTGACATATTTGAACGCTGTGACATTGAAAGTAAGTCGAGGTCATTTTCATTCGCAAACTTTGTAGGGCTCTTTCCCAGGAAATAACCAGCCAAATGTTAAGGTTCTATACCTTCCAGTTCTTCAGAAGAAATCGTTTTAAGTATTGGACATATCCGACTCCTGTGACCTTGAAAGAAGGCCAAGGTCATTTTCATCCTCAAACTTTGTCAGGCTCTATCCCAGGAAGCGATCAATCAAATATAAAGATTCTATACCGTTCAGTTTTTCAGAAAAAGTTGTTTGAAGCATTTGACATATTTGACCCCTGTGACCTTGAAAGAAGGCCAAGGTCATTTTCATCCTCAAACTTTGTCAGGCTCTATCCCAGGAAGCGATCAATCAAATATAAAGATTCTATGCCTTTCAGTTCTTCAGAAGAAGTTGTTTGAAGTTTTTGACATATTTGACCCCTGTGACCTTGAAAGTAGGTCAAGGTCATTTTAGTTATCAAACTTTGTCGGGCTCCTACCAAAAAAGCTTTCAGACAAATATCATGACTCTAGGCCTGTCCATTCTTCAAAAGAAGTTGTTTAAAGGAAAAGTTGATGGACGAGGACGGACAACGGACGCCGCACCATGACATAAGCTCACTTGACCTTCAGCCAGGTGAGCTAAAAACGGACTCAAACTACGACTTTTCAATCATTTTTTTTTTTTAATAAAAGTAAACATAACACTTTGAACACTTGTCTCGGACATGTTCAACGGACATGACGACGGACGCCGCACCATGACATAAGCTCACTTGACCTTCAGCCAGGTGAGCTAAAAACGGACTCAAACTACGACTTTTCAATCATTTTTATTTTTTAATAAAAGTAAACATAACACTTTGAACACTTGTCTCGGACATGTTACACACTCACTCGTATTCCAGTGTCTCCCACAGCCCTCCCTATCATAACCACTTCACTACCGTTGTATCTCATCCATTGCACATTTCTCACACAAATTTACACAAAAAGTAATTTTCTTATATTTTCTTATCAATATTTCATTTACCCTAAAATCTCAACAAGTCACATTTTGACTGTTTTTTTTTAGAAAGAAATGAAAAAATAAAATGAAGGTCGTATTTCCGAATTACAAGCTGCCTATGTTAAATCAAGACAAGTATTAGATATTTAAGGGTACACATACATAGACAATTTAAAATGTACGGAAATGAGATAAAAACAAAAACATCCACCACATTGAACTCCAGTTATCATGCAAAACTCTGGTAATCATACAAAGTACAATATTTCTGGCCCATAAAAATGATAACCCTGTTAGAGCCATTTGCAGTACTTTCCATAAATTACCTCTCAGTCAAAGGGAATATTTCTATGAAAAGTAAAATGGAAAGAAATAAACTACAGCATCAACACAAAGTGACCAAATCGGAACTCAAAATCTGCTTGTTTAGATTGATATATAACAAATAATTTTTATCAAACTTTTGTTACACATTCATACTCTTAGTTGGAATTGGAAGATAATTCTTTAACTTTGAACTGAAGACACTTATTTTTATCAAAACTGAATATTTAAAGTATTGGACCTAAAAAACAACAAATTTCATAGCACCTATAAGGCGTGTACCTGTTACAGGAAATTACAAAATTACAATGTCACATGAAATTCGTTTTGTTTTGATAGATCTCTACTCTCTATTTTAATGAGAAAAAAAACATAGCTGTCAAACCTCCCTCAAAAGGAGGGAGACTCCATCATTTTGATTAAAATTTACCAATCTCCCTCGAAACTCCCTCAATCAAGTCCAAACTCACACAAACTCAAAATCTACATCCTGTGGTCAAATGATCTCCTAGTTACTACAGGGTGTGGGTATTTGAAAATATGAAAATATTACCGTTTAATTTCATGTTAAGTATATTTTTCATGTGGATTTGTTCTGAAAGTGAAAGTAAGACACATACACAACAAAAATCAGAAAGGACAAATACGATTACAACCGACTTAAATCACATATAATTGAGGCACTAATAGGCAGCACAGCATGAAGATATGTAAACTTTACCCCCATATTATCTGTAATTCTGGCAATGTTAAACATAAACCATTCAATTACATGACACCAAACCTTTATGTATTTCAACAACAAATAGATTAAATGTTCTACTTCTATAACTTTCTGACTTTATTAAATCATCCTGAAATGTTTCAAGATACTTATACAATTTTATTGTCAGATATTTTTGATATTTGGAACAGTTTGTTATCATTATAATTGTTAAAGAATAATGCTTATAACAGAACTGAACAAGAAACTTCTGTTAAGGATCCTGACCCCACTGCACTGTGGTTTTTCTCACATGAAGTATAACCTCCCCTCGGTTACAGCAACAGTATAACAATTTGAGATCCACATGTGGTTTTTATTTTCAAAAATAGTTGTTAAAAGCTAAAGTTATGACAGAAAATAGGTTTTGGATACAATATTTTAGTTTTTTGGGCAGCGGTACGGGGATCCTTAAGGCAGAGTTGTCCCGATTGTTTATTACCAATCAAGTGCTGTTACAATGACACATCCTTTTCATGAAAAGGAGATATTCCTTATTTTTACAGGGTTACTTTTAAAGACTGAAAATATGAAAATAATCATATTTATGAATTATATTTGATATTCAACAGAAAACCTTAAAAGCTGTTTACTGGTTATGACTTTATCTGAATGGTAGGATATCTGTCAGAAATATTACACTTTCATGGTACATTTTCCTAGACAAATGAAAACATTCGTCTATGTCTTCACTGCAGAGAAGTTATCACTTTTTACATCATTTTGGTCATACTGATAATTCCTCAAACATCACTGGTAGCAAAAAAAACGTTAATGAAATGCATTCAATATTTTTTGCCTATTAAAGGTGGGCATCAACATTTTTCACTTTAAAGCATTTTCAAAATGTTTGCCTAAGTTTATTTTTCTCTACCAACACAAATTAAACCTCTAGAATTTTAGTTGAATGATGAAAATAGTGATATGGCTAAAATTGCATTGTCGTTCCTCATGGTGAATGGGTTAATATAGAATTAAATCAATGAGTGATATAAAGTTGCACTATAAAAATATATAAACTATTTCCAGTTGTAAGAAGTATTTTGATGTGGTTGTCATCCTTCAATAATAATGAGTAAAAGATGCAATGCTACACATCTTTGCCCAAAATACATCAACTATGAAAACTCAAAATAGATGATAAGTCTTATAACTCTGGTAAATCATCCTCATCACCAATGTCCATCCCCTCATCAGCTGGTGAACCAGAAACATCCTTCCCATTCACATCGATTGTCACCGTTTTAACTTTTGCTTGCAGTTTCTCTTCCTCCTCGGACTGAGCATCTTCCTCCTCAGAGTCTTCTTCTTCCTCCTCCTCTGTTTCAGAAGCCTGATCAGTCTGACTTGCATCTACTGTCTCAATCTTCATTTCTGCTGGAGACTTACGGAAATTCCCAGGGCACTCGAAAAGAGTTCTCTGTAAAACGGGAAGGTGAAACATCATAATACAGCACTTTTAATACTCGATCCCCACTCTACACTACAAACACCTTTGAAAACAGACCAGAGTTTAGGAATGAAAGATAGGGTTTATGAATTTGTCATTGCATTGATAACTTGTTTAATTCTATATTAATTTTGATGTTCAAATAGTAATTACATGATAAGTCTGGTATAATTTGTCAAGGACACAATATACAGTAAGTAATTTTATTTATTTGTTCTCACTTTGAAAATTACCCATTTATGAAACAAGCCATTTGGATTGATATGTCTTGTCTATGCGCCGCTTTGACAATCAATGCACATATCAGAGAAACTAACTTAAACGCAAAAACATAATGTTGATGGAGATGCTGACAAAACCAATGGACCATGAAAGGTAGGCCGCATCAAACATGTGATGCATGGGTTGAGATGTACTACCTAAGATGCATCTACGGTTGTCCAAGTTTGGTTGGTCTAGCACTTATATTTTCAGTGATACTAACTTAAACACAATTACGTAAACTTAAACTCAAAAACGTAATGCTGATGCCGCCGTCACTGGAAATGCAACACCTAAAGTCTCGCTTTCAATTCGTGGCGGCGAGACAAAAACTACCGTGGATTAAAATATTTCCCTACACATGTCCTTAAGCATTACATGTACGTATGTTTATTTATGAAGTACTATAAGTTTTTGTCATATGATATCATCAAAAAATTATTTTAGGAAAAAAAAGACGTTTTACAGATATCGGTACAGCAGTAAATGTTAGTCTTACCTGCTTGCTGCCAATACTGCGGAGCACTAAAGTCCACTTGCTTGTTATTCTTATCATCATGTCTTTTATCTGAAACGGAAAAACATAAACGACTGAAGTGCTTTATTAACTGGTAACGCCCCCTTTAACAAATATCTCAGACCTGAGCAAGTTACTACTGGTCATTCATGATGTATATACATATAGGGCATCATTTATTCCCCATTTCAAACTGACATTTTTTTATCAATCAAATGAAAAATTTAAAAAGCTGCAGCAGAATAAGAAATATCCATGTTTCCAACAACAAAACCTACATTTACTAAATACTATACATTGCCCAGGCAAGAACATATCAAACCTCTCTGAATAGAAGGAAATACTTTTGCTTCATAACATGTCTCAACTAATAGAGATTTTATGAATGATTTCTCAGAAACTTAGTTTTTGTTTTCCCAGTAGACAACAGTTGTAAAATGTCCAATAATAGTTAAATTAGAAGTGCCTCCTGTCTCTCCTAGATACTATTCTGGAATATATCAAAATAGCCAAGTAACACAAATGACTTGTGGCCAGAGAATGGATGATAAAGCTAGTAGGTCAAATGGCTATGTGAACACTTGAATATAAGGATATGACAATAGTAACATTGCTGTAATCATAGGTGTCAGCCTCTGAAACCTCCCTCTGATGAGGGCGATCTCCCTCATTCCACATTTCCAATGAGGGACAAAATGTGTGACAGGCGACTGAGACTGCTTTGCTCGATTTATCCTTCCCTTTTTATGTTTCAAAATAACTCCAAAAAGCATTCATTTGATTCAGACCCACCTGTTATTCTCATTACACACACCCTGCAGTAATTAACTAGGAGATCATTTGACCACAGGATGTAGATTTTGAGTTTGTGTGAGTTTAGACTTGAATGAGGGAGCTTCGGGGGAGAATGGTAAATTTTGGTCAAAATGAGGGAGTCTCCCTCCTAACGAGGGAGGTTTGACAGCTCAAAATGAGGGAGTCTCCCTCCTTACGAGGGAGGTTTGACAGCTCAAAATGAGGGAGTCTCCCTCCTTACGAGGGAGGTTTGACAGCTCAAAATGAGGGAGTCTCCCTCCTTATGAGGGAGGTTTGACAGCTCAAAATGAGGGAGTCTCCCTCCTTACGAGGGAGGTTTGACAGCTCAAAATGAGGGAGTCTCCCTCCTTACGAGGGAGGTTTGACAGCTCAAAATGAGGGAGTCTCCCTCCTTACGAGGGAGGTTTGACAGCTCAAAATGAGGGAGTCTCCCTCCTTACGAGGGAGGTTTGACAGCTCAAAATGAGGGAGTCTCCCTCCTTACGAGGGAGGTTTGACAGCTCAAAATGAGGGAGTCTCCCTCCTTACGAGGGAGGTTTGACAGCTCAAAATGAGGGAGTCTCCCTCCTTACGAGGGAGGTTTGACAGCTCAAAATGAGGGAGTCTCCCTCCTTACGAGGGAGGTTTGACAGCTCAAAATGAGGGAGTCTCCCTCCTTACGAGGGAGGTTTGACAGCTCAAAATGAGGGAGTCTCCCTCCTTACGAGGGAGGTTTGACAGCTCAAAATGAGGGAGTCTCCCTCCTTACGAGGGAGGTTTGACAGCTCAAAATGAGGGAGTCTCCCTCCTTACGAGGGAGGTTTGACAGCTCAAAATGAGGGAGTCTCCCTCCTTACGAGGGAGGTTTGACAGCTCAAAATGAGGGAGTCTCCCTCCTTACGAGGGAGGTTTGACAGCTCAAAATGAGGGAGTCTACCTCCTTATGAGGGAGGTTTGACAGCTCAAAATGAGGGAGTCTCCCTCCTTATGAGGGAGGTTTGACAGCTACGTGTAATAGAGAAATGATGTAGCAGCTGAACACTTACTCTCGTCTTGTCTAACATCTGGACATTGTCTCTCACTTCACCTGTCAGTTTCTTCATCTGTTCTGTAATGTACTCCAAGTCATCCTGTGTCGAAAATTAAAACCACTTTATCTTTTTGAATGATTAGTAAGTATGCATATCTATGCTATTTTTTGACACCTCCTGTGGGTTGCAGTTACATTTCAAATTTTATGGTGGTATCTGTAATTATAAGTGCACTGCACACCTTTTTGTGGGTGATGCAGGTACACTTCAATTTTCATAAACATAAATTTAACAGTGTAAAATTAAGATATGGTCGAGATATGGCTTCACTTAAAATAACAAAAAGAAACAAAATAACCCAGATGACATATAATTGAAATGTTAAACAAGTAGCCTGTGTAAAGTTCAACTTCAATGGTTTCAAAGAAAGCCGGTTCTTCTCCAAAAGTTCACTTCGAACATATGCACCGATTCGTAAAGCTAAAAGTCTCAGACAAACCGAATTTTTTTATCAGAAAATCTGTAAATAGTATACCTTTAAATTATTGTATTCACATTAAGCAAAGGAATACAAAACTGAGTTGTTTTTTTAATTGATATTGTTTATGATACATTTGGTAACATTGACGTGACTAACCTTCTCTGCAGACTTGATGACCCCGTTCCCTATACAAAGGTCTAGAAGACTCACACAGCTTGCCAACAGATAGATGTCATCATCGGCCAGTCCTTGTAATCGGGGCAGAACGTTGTGAACACGACCCAGCTACAGCAACAAAAGATCACAGTCCGATAACAAGTCCTTGCAGTTGGTAACACCCAATTTTCAAGCCAACAAATTTAATCAAAGGAAGATAAAGTCTATATCTTGGGTAGAATAGTTTAAATAATTATTGTTAATCTGACTCACTGTATCTGACATCATTGTAAGGAAATAACTGCAAGATGATACAAATTTTTTTTAAATTGAAACAAAAGTGGATAAAAACAATTGATGTCCTTGGAGAAATTCAATATCTATTGATATGGCATAATCATAAATATATTAAAGAAAAATTATCTTAGAAAAAAAAAATGATGTCATAAAACTATTTCTTTACCTCACAAATTCATTGAAGTTATTGTTTCTTTGTTTAGCTTGTATTCAAAGCATCTCTTTTAATACACACAGACCGACAGAATTTTACCTGAAAATGCATGACAACATCATCAGACACTTTCTGTTCTGGATTAAAGAGGTGGTGTATCATCAGGAAGCTGACACGGCGCTGAAGAAAATTCCCTTTGGTGGTAGGGGGAAGTAACTGTGCAAGGTAAACTTTGTTATGATGGTGTTCCGTTAAACTGGACAGCTCTCGACACAAAGTTAGGGACTGAAGTAAAAGACATTGGGTTTTTCAACTGAAGACATTTTTTTAAAAGGAATCATGATTATTATCACACAACCTTAAGAATTTTGGTTTTTGAAATGTTTTAGAAACCGATACTGTATATAAATATTTTTTACTGTCCCTGATATTTCTTGGATTTGCTTAAATGGTCCATTTCATGATAGATTTTTTCACCGATTTCAGGTCTAGTGACCATGGCAGAAAATTAAATAAATGTAAGGATGGATTAATTGGCAATTCATTTTCGTGGTTGTATTTTTCATGGCAAAACATGTGAAAATAAAAATAGCTTTGTAATTATGGTTGTTACCTGTGAGGTCCAGTCTGCGTCTGTGTACAACTTTAACAGGGAAGCCAGCACAACCTCAAACTCATGGGTTAACATAAAACTACAACACAAATTTATAGATATTCTACCAATGTAAGCAGACACTCAAATGTGCAGTTTTGAACAATGAAAGTTTCCATATCTTTACCACTGTTCCGAGTTTTTCTTTTTAATTCTACCCCTCTACATGTCAAACTTTCTGCATGTCTTCTCCTCTACAACTTTTTTAACTCTTCTTCCCTGTCAGTTTACCCAAATATAAATCTTTAACACAACTCCTTGAAAGTCTAGAAATTTCTTTTTTTTCTATACAAAAGTCACCTTATTCTAATGTAAACCCTTTTTATTGTTAAACAACTCCTAAATAAGAGAAAGGGTCTCAATAATATTCGTAATCTCATTGCAGGGTATGGCAATAAACTATGTTTAGAATAAAGTCCTAACTTTGATTTATATATTTACCTGTTCATTTCAAATCTTCTCCCCAATTACTACAAGCATCCCTTCCCTACCTACTCCCAGTATCAATCCCCTATTACTACATGTATTTCATTCCTCCACAAATACAAGAAACCCCTCCCCAGTATCTCTCCACATAACTCCAAGCACCCCCTCCTCAATTACTACAAGTATCCATTCCCCAATTACTACAAGTATCCATTCCCCAATTACTACAAGTAGCCATTCCCCAATTACTACAAGTATCCATTCCTCAGTTACTACAAGTATCCATTCCCAAATTACTACAAGTATCCATTCCTCAATTACTACAAGTATCCCTCCACGTAACTCCAAGCATTCCCTCCCTAAGTACTACAAGTATCCATTTCCCCAACTACTACAAGTATCCATTCCCCACTTACTACAAGTAGCCATTCCCCAATTACTACAAGTATCCATTCCTCAATTACTACAAGTATCCCTCCACGTAACTCCAAGCATTCCCTCCCTAATTACTACAAGTATCCATTTCCCAAATTACTACAAGTATCCATTTCCCCAACTACTACAAGTATCCATTCCCCAATTACTACAAGTATCACTCCATGTAACTCCAAGCATTCCCTCCCCAATTACTGCAAGTATCCATTTCCCCAATTACTACAAGTATCCATTTCCCCAATTACTACAAGTATATCTCTCTAAATATCTCCAAGAATCCCCTCCCAAATAACTACAAATATCCATTTCCCCAATTACTGCAAGTATTCCTCAACATACCTCCAAGCACCCCCTCCCAAATAACTACAAACATTCATTTCCCCAATTACTACAAGTATCCCCTGTAAATTCTACCCCAAAGTCTACATCTACACTTTAATAGCACAGACTTTCAGAAATAGTCTACGGGTAACCTTCAAACTACCAGTCATAAGCATTTTTCTCCTTACATTACATTTGATGTATTTTTAAATTTACTTAAGACTTTTAAATATACATAAAGCACATTTTGAATTTGTTTCCAACATAAATTTTAGTTTGTTAATAAAAAATATTGAATCCTTTGCATAACACAGCACTTACTTGTTGAGAGATTTATCGAGAGCTGCCTTACATAGCATGACCACCATCTGTGTGATCTGGACAGCTGTGTACTTAGGCCTAAAGTAAGAGACAGACAAGTTATTTCCCCACTTTTACGTATACCCTACCCCTCAGTCCCCTAGGGGGTCAGCCATTCAGTTCATTTTTTAATCATCAGTATACCACCTCAGGATGCTTCTAACTAAATATAGCTAACATTTGTCACATACAAAGTGAACCTTAAAATCTTGATAATAAGCTGTGGCATATTTTCATTTTTCATACACAATCCCAGGCCTATTTTCGAAACATGACTTAATTCAAGGCAGTCTTTTTTTTAAATCACTTAGACAGTAAGCCATCAATGGTCTAGATTTTTTGACTTAGCAAACATATAATAGCCATGATGATTCTAATTCGGACAAGACCAACTGCTTACCTGATTTGAAATGCCATGGCTAGGGAAGTAAGGACAAGGCGGAAATTTTCCCTGTTGTATTTCCCAGCAGCTGGCTGAATCTCCATGTTTTGTTGTTGAAACAGAGATTTTCTGAGATAGAAAATAACATAAACAATATATAATACCAAAGTTTATGAAAGTCCTGAACAGTTCAGGTTCCGAAAAAAAATAATCTCTATAAATGTAGCAAAACGTCCTTATTTGAGTATCAGTTTCATGATATGATTCTTAGTGAAATCAGATTTCTGGACTATTGAATCAGGTTAATTTATTCCGTATGTGTCAAAATGAAAAATTTCAAATAGCAAACTTACACTCCACAGCTTAAACTCACCGGATAGATTCAGTATTTGGCATCAAAGACTTCGGCAATAATTTGTTTGGATCTGCTCCTAATGAAAAGGAAATAAATACATTTAAAATATTGGAATAAAAAAAAATGGCTGAATGAATGAATTTAAACCACATAGTTGAACTTTTACAAGTAGCTAATGTCTGCATGTCAACCTACTTTGAACTTTTTAGGCTAAAATATTTTGATATTGTTACAAACATTTTACAAAGTAACTCAGTAACTTATAGAAATGATTTCCGGTACTTTCTCTGTTTGGTTTTTTTCTGTTTTATGTCCTTAATTAAGGTCATATATAGGAGTGTATTGAGAAACGGAAATAGGAAGTTCATCCCTAGTTGAAAATCCAATGTAGGGAAGGGAGACAATATCATAATTTCCGCATATTCTAATGTTTAATATTAAATTTAATATGTCTTTCATTTTTTTTCAAAATTCACTCCTTTTTACATAAATTTCCATTTAAAATCCTTAAATTTCTGACAACCTATTTTTTTTTGTAGCAGAAAATTTTTCATTACTTCAAAGCAATATAACTACAAAATTTGAAGAAATTCTACTGAGAAATGGTGACACAATCCTATTACCTTAAACAGCTATGGTCATTTTAGGATGTGCCAGTTTTTTTGGTGGTGAAGGAAAACTGGAAAGCCAGGAGAAAAATGTCTGACCTGTGGCCATGGCCAGTACCTGGTGAATTCCCCAATTCGGTCCTTAAATGACCATAGCTGTTGATAGGACGTTAAACAATATTAAACCAAACCAAACTACCCCAATTACGCCTTGCATCCGCGACCCAGCGGTGAAGGGCTATAGTGATTATAGACGGTAGACACTTTAACCACTCGGACACCGCAGCCCCCGTTACTTTGTAACTCATCAACAGAATCTATTGTACTATCAAAAGGTAACCTGGAATGGACAGGAAGTCAGACCACAAAGAGAAAAGATGTTTGAACTCTTACCATAGTTACATAGTATGGAGAGTATATCTGTCACTGCAGGAGACCAGGTATACTTAGTCTTACAGGTGAAATGCTGGCACGAGTAAAGGTGTTCCTGGATAGTCTTGTAGCAGCAGTTTATCAGAAGGTGGCTAGCATGCACCGACACTGTTAAAGCAAATTAACACACGTTAGAATGTTTTAACTTAATAATTAGACATGTTGACAGTTTTTCCAACTGTTCAGGATCCTTGTACCACTGTCAAATACTGTTATCAAGAATTGGAAACTGTTTTTCGCGCATGACTTTAACTTTGATATATCATTTCTAAAAAGAAAAACATAATTTCTGGGACTTTTATGAAAAAATAATGAAGATGAAAATAAACAAAATATAACAACAATTATTATAGTGTTCTGAATGTAAAACAATAAGTTAGGATAGACTGGGATTCCAACCCTGGACCAGAACCTGTTTTATTATCGCTCTAACTGACTGAGCTACCTGTAAAGCTAGCAACAAAAATGTACAGGCCCAACTGTGCAACAGTTATATCCAAACAGAAGTTAAGGGGAGGTTACTGTCTATAGGAACAAGCCATTCGGATTGATATGTCTGGCCTGTGCCCCGCTTTGACCATCAATGCACATGTTAGGTTTGGTTGGTCTAGCACTTATAGTTTCAGAGAAACTAACCTACATGCAAAAACTTAATGTTGATGGAGATGCTGACAAAGTCAATGAACCATGAAAGGTAGCTATAGGCCGCATCCAGCATTTGACGCATGGGTTGAGATGTACTACCTAAGATGCATCTAGGGTCCAAGTTTGCTTGGTCTAGCACTAATACTTCAAGTGAAACTAACTTAAAAGCAAAAACTTAATGTTGACACCCCCACGCCCCTGGAAAAGCAACACCTTAGTCTCGCTTCCGCTACTTTGTGGCAGCGAGACCAAAACCCCACTGTGCAGTAGGACAGGGAGCCTTAAAGCCTCTATATAGAAGTTTAACTTACAGTTGTCTCCCCCTATCCCACAGACATTAACTATATGGCTCTTACAGAATGCCAAAGTTTTCTGGTATTTTTCAAATTAATAACAAGTTTACTTGTCCTTTAATATCTTGCTTAGCTTTTTATGCATCGCATTTCACATGTTCCTTTTGGAGTTTTCCTGAATAAAGCAACTTGAATTTGAATTTGTTCTTAAATCTCCAATGCACCTCCTTTTGCAGTATACTATTTGAGGATAGATGATATATAAACTTTATTTATTTAACAACAATTATGAAATAAGTTATGTCAACTTATATTAATCACTCTTGTTGGCCCGGATGTTAGCATGTGGGGGGTCTTAGTGTGGGAGGAAACCAGAGTAACCAGAGATACCCACATGGTCGGGCAGGTGACCCAACCTTTTCACGTCCTATCGGGGAATCGAACCCCGGTCGCCTTGGTGAAAGGCAAGTGCGCTATCCACTGCACCACCCGACCACCCTTAACAGATGTTAAATTATGACTCATACAGAAAATATGCATGTTGCAGTCATGTATTAAATATAATAAGTTTAAAAATAACTCGTTTCCAGTCAATTCATACTTCTATTCTTTATTAAGATAAATCCTGTTAGTATTATGATTATTTTCATTTTTAATCACGCGTGACGGCCATTTTGTTTATCCCATCAGTCTCAAAAGGGAACATACACAAATAGGGACATAGGGGATCCCTCAAGTACTCCTTGAGAGATACCGATAACAAACCTCCACTGTTAAAATCCAAGATGGCTGCCTGTCGGCCATTTTGTTTACTTGATCAGTCTCAAAAGTAAACATGGTCAACTAGGGACCAAGGGGAACCTTCATATTTTAAATTTTAGAAAGATCCCTTCAGTACTTTCAGAGAAATAGCGATAAAAAGAATTGTTTAAAGACGGACGATGGATGACAGACGGACGACAGACAATGGATGAATGGCAATTTGAATAGCCCACCATCAGATGATGGTGGGCTAAAAATATGGTCCAAAACACTGCTAACACTCCATATAGATACTTCAACCTTATAATAGACAATAGCCTATTGATGGTGGTGATCCAACAAACAAACAAAATTGCCCAAAAACTTTAACCTCAAGCCTCAAAAATTTTACAAAGTCCAATTAAGCTGTTTTTGGCCCCTTAAATATGAATATATGGTTCAGCACAGTGCTTACACTCCATATAAATACTTCAACCTTATAATCGACAACAGCCTATTGATGGTTGTTGTCTAACACTTCACCAAAAAAAATGCCCAAAACTTAAACTTGACTCAACCTTAGCCCAAAACTTTAACCAAGTCCAATTAAGCTGTTTTTGGCCCCTAACATATGAAAATATGTTCCAGCACATTGCTCACACTCAGTATAAATGCCTTAACCTCATAATAGACAACTGCGCATTTAGTGTGATGATCCAACACTGTCTGGAAAAAAACTTGCCTACAAAATGTATCAGGACAAAACCTACAAACTTCAATTAACATACTTATAATAATAATAATTCAAGGTTCTTATATACCGCTTTATCACAACCTAGTTTGTAGGTCGACTAGTTAATAAATTATTATCTGTGGTTATAGGGCCTTTGCAAATAGCCAATATATTTCTCAACTCCCTGGGGAGCATACAGCCTGTGCTGCCATTTCGGTGGTCACAGCTGGTATTCAACAATTCTAGCACAAAATTGAACTGCAAATTGCAAGACACTGAGTTACATATATATGGTAACTTACTGATCAATAACAGCCACCGCAGCACAGCATCCTGACAGGAGATCGCATCAAAACACATCAGCATAATGTCAGAGGTTAGGAGTGTTATGTAGTCACCTACAAACAAAAACAAATACAAATAGTACATCTAAAACAGGTGTTTGTATAGTCACTTATAAACAAATACAAATAGTACATCTAAAACAGGTGTTTGTATAGTCACTTATAAACAAATACAAATAGTACATCTAAAACAGGTGTTTGTATAGTCACTTATAAACAAATACAAATAGTACATCTAAAACAGGTGTTTGTATAGTCACTTATAAACAAATACAAATAGTACATCTAAAACAGGTGTTTGTATAGTCACTTATAAACAAATACAAATAGTACATCTAAAACAGGTGTTTGTATAGTCACTTATAAACAAATACAAATAGTACATCTAAAACAGGTGTTTGTATAGTCACTTATAAACAAATACAAATAGTACATCTAAAACAGGTGTTTGTATAGTCACTTATAAACAAATACAAATAGTACATCTAAAACAGGTGTTTGTATAGTCACTTATAAACAAATACAAATAGTACATCTAAAACAGGTGTTTGTATAGTCACTTATAAACAAATACAAATAGTACATCTAAAACAGGTGTTTGTATAGTCACTTATAAACAAATACAAATAGTACATCTAAAACAGGTGTTTGTATAGTCACTTATAAACAAATACAAATAGTACATCTAAAACAGGTGTTTGTATAGTCACTTATAAACAAATACAAATAGTACATCTAAAACAGGTGTTTGTATAGTCACTTATAAACAAATACAAATAGTACATCTAAAACAGGTGTTTGTATAGTCACTTATAAACAAATACAAATAGTACATCTAAAACAGGTGTTTGTATAGTCACTTATAAACAAATACAAATAGTACATCTAAAACAGGTGTTTGTATAGTCACTTATAAACAAATACAAATAGTACATCTAAAACAGGTGTTTGTATAGTCACTTATAAACAAATACAAATAGTACATCTAAAACAGGTGTTTGTATAGTCACTTATAAACAAATACAAATAGTACATCTAAAACAGGTGTTTGTATAGTCACTTATAAACAAATACAAATAGTACATCTAAAACAGGTGTTTGTATAGTCACTTATAAACAAATACAAATAGTACATCTAAAACAGGTGTTTGTATAGTCACTTATAAACAAATACAAATAGTACATCTAAAACAGGTGTTTGTATAGTCACTTATAAACAAATACAAATAGTACATCTAAAACAGGTGTTTGTATAGTCACTTATAAACAAATACAAATAGTACATCTAAAACAGGTGTTTGTATAGTCACTTATAAACAAATACAAATAGTACATCTAAAACAGGTGTTTGTATAGTCACTTATAAACAAATACAAATAGTACATCTAAAACAGGTGTTTGTATAGTCACTTATAAACAAATACAAATAGTACATCTAAAACAGGTGTTTGTATAGTCACTTATAAACAAATACAAATAGTACATCTAAAACAGGTGTTTGTATAGTCACTTATAAACAAATACAAATAGTACATCTAAAACAGGTGTTTGTATAGTCACTTATAAACAAATACAAATAGTACATCTAAAACAGGTGTTTGTATAGTCACTTATAAACAAATACAAATAGTACATCTAAAACAGGTGTTTGTATAGTCACTTATAAACAAATACAAATAGTACATCTAAAACAGGTGTTTGTATAGTCACTTATAAACAAATACAAATAGTACATCTAAAACAGGTGTTTGTATAGTCACTTATAAACAAATACAAATAGTACATCTAAAACAGGTGTTTGTATAGTCACTTATAAACAAATACAAATAGTACATCTAAAACAGGTGTTTGTATAGTCACTTATAAACAAATACAAATAGTACATCTAAAACAGGTGTTTGTATAGTCACTTATAAACAAATACAAATAGTACATCTAAAACAGGTGTTTGTATAGTCACTTATAAACAAATACAAATAGTACATCTAAAACAGGTGTTTGTATAGTCACTTATAAACAAATACAAATAGTACATCTAAAACAGGTGTTTGTATAGTCACTTATAAACAAATACAAATAGTACATCTAAAACAGGTGTTTGTATAGTCACTTATAAACAAATACAAATAGTACATCTAAAACAGGTGTTTGTATAGTCACTTATAAACAAATACAAATAGTACATCTAAAACAGGTGTTTGTATAGTCACTTATAAACAAATACAAATAGTACATCTAAAACAGGTGTTTGTATAGTCACTTATAAACAAATACAAATAGTACATCTAAAACAGGTGTTTGTATAGTCACTTATAAACAAATACAAATAGTACATCTAAAACAGGTGTTTGTATAGTCACTTATAAACAAATACAAATAGTACATCTAAAACAGGTGTTTGTATAGTCACTTATAAACAAATACAAATAGTACATCTAAAACAGGTGTTTGTATAGTCACTTATAAACAAATACAAATAGTACATCTAAAACAGGTGTTTGTATAGTCACTTATAAACAAATACAAATAGTACATCTAAAACAGGTGTTTGTATAGTCACTTATAAACAAATACAAATAGTACATCTAAAACAGGTGTTTGTATAGTCACTTATAAACAAATACAAATAGTACATCTAAAACAGGTGTTTGTATAGTCACTTATAAACAAATACAAATAGTACATCTAAAACAGGTGTTTGTATAGTCACTTATAAACAAATACAAATAGTACATCTAAAACAGGTGTTTGTATAGTCACTTATAAACAAATACAAATAGTACATCTAAAACAGGTGTTTGTATAGTCACTTATAAACAAATACAAATAGTACATCTAAAACAGGTGTTTGTATAGTCACTTATAAACAAATACAAATAGTACATCTAAAACAGGTGTTTGTATAGTCACTTATAAACAAATACAAATAGTACATCTAAAACAGGTGTTTGTATAGTCACTTATAAACAAATACAAATAGTACATCTAAAACAGGTGTTTGTATAGTCACTTATAAACAAATACAAATAGTACATCTAAAACAGGTGTTTGTATAGTCACTTATAAACAAATACAAATAGTACATCTAAAACAGGTGTTTGTATAGTCACTTATAAACAAATACAAATAGTACATCTAAAACAGGTGTTTGTATAGTCACTTATAAACAAATACAAATAGTACATCTAAAACAGGTGTTTGTATAGTCACTTATAAACAAATACAAATAGTACATCTAAAACAGGTGTTTGTATAGTCACTTATAAACAAATACAAATAGTACATCTAAAACAGGTGTTTGTATAGTCACTTATAAACAAATACAAATAGTACATCTAAAACAGGTGTTTGTATAGTCACTTATAAACAAATACAAATAGTACATCTAAAACAGGTGTTTGTATAGTCACTTATAAACAAATACAAATAGTACATCTAAAACAGGTGTTTGTATAGTCACTTATAAACAAATACAAATAGTACATCTAAAACAGGTGTTTGTATAGTCACTTATAAACAAATACAAATAGTACATCTAAAACAGGTGTTTGTATAGTCACTTATAAACAAATACAAATAGTACATCTAAAACAGGTGTTTGTATAGTCACTTATAAACAAATACAAATAGTACATCTAAAACAGGTGTTTGTATAGTCACTTATAAACAAATACAAATAGTACATCTAAAACAGGTGTTTGTATAGTCACTTATAAACAAATACAAATAGTACATCTAAAACAGGTGTTTGTATAGTCACTTATAAACAAATACAAATAGTACATCTAAAACAGGTGTTTGTATAGTCACTTATAAACAAATACAAATAGTACATCTAAAACAGGTGTTTGTATAGTCACTTATAAACAAATACAAATAGTACATCTAAAACAGGTGTTTGTATAGTCACTTATAAACAAATACAAATAGTACATCTAAAACAGGTGTTTGTATAGTCACTTATAAACAAATACAAATAGTACATCTAAAACAGGTGTTTGTATAGTCACTTATAAACAAATACAAATAGTACATCTAAAACAGGTGTTTGTATAGTCACTTATAAACAAATACAAATAGTACATCTAAAACAGGTGTTTGTATAGTCACTTATAAACAAATACAAATAGTACATCTAAAACAGGTGTTTGTATAGTCACTTATAAACAAATACAAATAGTACATCTAAAACAGGTGTTTGTATAGTCACTTATAAACAAATACAAATAGTACATCTAAAACAGGTGTTTGTATAGTCACTTATAAACAAATACAAATAGTACATCTAAAACAGGTGTTTGTATAGTCACTTATAAACAAATACAAATAGTACATCTAAAACAGGTGTTTGTATAGTCACTTATAAACAAATACAAATAGTACATCTAAAACAGGTGTTTGTATAGTCACTTATAAACAAATACAAATAGTACATCTAAAACAGGTGTCTGTATAGTCACTTATAAACAAATACAAATAGTACATCTAAAACAGGTGTCTGTATAGTCACTTATAAACAAATAGTACATCTAAAACAGGTGTTTGTAAAGTCACTTATAAACAAATACAAACAGTACATCTAAAACAGGTGTTTGTATAGTCACTTATAAACAAATACAAATAGTACATCTAAAACAGAGTTCATGTGTATTCAACTTTAGACAGTAACACATACAATAGTATGTCTAAAACAGGAGCATCCGGGCGAAAATGAGTGATTAATATAAGTTGAAATAACTTGTTACATGTCCGTTGTAAAATAAATAAAGTTTATTTTTATATTTAAAATTTTAGTAATTTACATTGACCAAGAACGTGTGGTAATCCAGTCCTGGAAGGTTGTATCTCAGGCAGCAAATTAAAAGGATGAAATGTCAAGTTTTGTATATGTTGTTACCTGGTTGAACAGTGATGAGATGTTTGTCAATGTAGGTAGTTCCTGGTACAAAGCCGCATGACTGGAGGGATACGTCAGCATTAAACAGGCACTGGTACCTCCGACCAAGGAAGATGCTCTCTCCAGGGTGAACCTCACTCATCTGACTCTTACAGATCTCGAACTGTCACAGAAAGGTTAATACTGCCTTTACAAAAAAGGTCTTCACATGAGCTTCCATTATTTTGATATGAAATGAATGCAGCGAGTTAGGAATCTATATTTTTTCTGTTGCAAGACTCTCAATCGCTATAGTTGCTTCATCTTTAATAAAGTTTTCTAAGATGTATTTATTTATATATTTATTTGCATAAGCTATTTTATATACACACATGATAAAAATCTGTAACGCTCACTCCTAAGATAGGCGGCGTCGTGTATGTCTTGGGATGGAATTGTGGTGCGATAGAGAACAGACACAAGAAATAACGTTCACATATTTATTAACTCCAGCATATAAAGTTCACAGTAATCCATACACGGTTCACAACACGTTCATTTATCTCCCATAATCCATATGTTTCCTTCATAGTCCTTTCACACAACATCCACTTTCAGTCTCTATTCTAACGCACTAAAACTCTAAACTAGCTAAACTACATGTATCCTACTCCTAATAAAACGTAACTCTCCTCAATAGTAGTGCGTGCTTCTGTTATACATCATCCCAGTATTTATAGGTGCTAACATTAGCTTACGCGACCATTGGTCAACATGGTGGTGAGGTGATGCTATGCACGTGGACATTATTGATTTATTCTAAGCCTTGACCAGTACTTTAGAAGTTACCTAACTTACCCACGGCAGTACCTTGGCCTCTTCTATATTTAGCGCTCACCAAATAAATATCAGTACTACTATATATAATTACTGTGCGTATTCTACAAGTCATTACAAAATCTATAATTATATTTTTTACTTTTAAATACATGAATTCTTAGTGTTCATCACACACTTTTTTCAATATAAAACATTTCAGACACTTACTTTTTTGAGTTTGAGCTGGTGTTCAGGTAGCAGATCTTCTAAATAAAGCAGAATATGAACATAAGTAATGGTATGTTGTTACAGTCAAGTTTTCAAAACAAATTTCAAAAACAAATTTCACCCAGATTCAATGATATAAGATACAAGGGAATACTGACAGATGAGAATTCCAATAGATTCTGTTTAGTGTGATACCACTATGCTAATATCAATTTAATTTAATTTTACTTAATCAACTTACCATCAACGACAGGCTCTTCGTTAACTTCCAAAGTATCCTTTACAAAGCCTCCCTTTCTTAGTCCCTCCTTGTAAACATAAACATGAGAATATTCAACAAGTCTAGGGTATATCAAGTTATACACAAAATTTTTGATTTCAAAAATACCACTGCTGAAGAACATAAAATTATACTCGTTTCTAATTGGAAAACCAATTAAAACAGCCATCTCTTATCCAACCTTAAAGATTAACCGGTAGCTTAGCTGCCTGTAAAAGTGTATACGCTAGCTTTGAAAGTAGCTGCAATTATAAGTGTTTTAGCTAAGCTTTGAAAGTAGCTGCAAGTATAAGTGTTTAGCTAAGCTTTGAAAGTAGCTGCCTGTAAAAGTGTTTTAGCTAAGCTTTGAAAGTAGCAGCAAGTATAAGTGTTTTAGCTAAGTTTTGAAAGTAGCTGCAAGTATAAGTGTTTTAGCTAAGCTTTGAAAGTAGCTGCCTGTAAAAGTGTATACGCTAGCTTTGAAAGTAGCTGCCTGTAAAATTGTAAACGCTAGCTTTGAAACAAAGCATAATGTCTTAATACAGTGACGTTCCTCAGAAAGCCATTTTTTCAACACATCTCTGGTGACTTCCCAATGGTATCTCCCTATTTGATCTTAACATACAAACATAAAATACTAAATTTGACACAAACATTTGATACTTTACTAGGGCTGCCCCAAAATACAGCATATGTACACCTACTTTTAAACCCTGTTAATAGGTGTGACACAAGTTGCCCCCGGCGCCTAGAGTTCAACTCGCAGAGTAACCTACTGGCACAACAGGGCTCAAAGCTGTCAAGCACTCTAGAATTCACAGCTGATAAAGATTATTATCCACCAGTAAAAATGAAGAATTTATCTTATCTAAAGTTTGAGATTTCTCTGTATGCATTAACACAGAAGTGACGGATTATTTTTCTCTTCATTGTCCTACTATTTAAGGATTGAATCATGATTTGTCCTACNAAACAGGATTCTATCCTTATATTTACATTCAGTGCAATATTGATTCTTTTTTTTTGATTTTTTTAAATACATTCAGTGCAATATTGATGATATTTTTTGGATATTTTTTTAAATATCGGTCTTGTGCAAGTCTAACACCACAGAAGGTACCGAAGCTTATGATGTCATCACTAACTATAAGACGTTGTCCCGGTTAGATAAATAACTTGTTTGTATTGATTACTACGAAAAAACAAATTAAGATGTAAATTAGTTTTCTTTAACCCTTTCACCACTGTAGACCATAATAGACTCATCCAGATCAATGAACGGTAGATTCTACTAAAGTTACATAGGGGTGAAATGATTAATTCAATTAAAAACTTCTGACAAAAAAACAAAAAAAAATATTAACAGAACTATTTTTCCGTGGTCCGCAGAATATAACAGAGAAATCAGGTGGATAATATGCAGATGTATTCATACGCCAACAGACAAATTTATTGAAAAATAACCTTTAAAAAATGCTTAGTAGGTATATTGAGTTTAGTAGAAATGTAAATATTGGAAAATACTCAAGCTATAATGGTGAGCCCAATGGTGCATGAAACATGATACAAAATTGGTGACTCGGTCCCATGATGATTTCGTTATTCTGCATAGAGATGATGCGATACTTATGTTAATTGTGTCATTTTTATAAACATGTAAGAAGAAAAGTCGTATGTATCTCTTCCCTCACAAAACAATAGGAATGCACCTGTGAAGTCAGAGAGAACGATGCTTTAATGCACCCCATTTATTGAATTTTAACATACCTCAAGTACCGCGTGCATATCTTCGCACTGTCGTTCTTCTGATGTCTGAAATATTAATTTCCTGATAGTCAAAAATCGAATTGATTCCAATTGACAACACTTTAAATATTTAAACAAAACCTGACAATCCATTGTTAATTAGCATTGGTCCTGTTCAGGTCGATTATTAAAGAAATCAGAGACCTGGTATATGTAGGCAGCCTGTTCAAAACCTAGTTAGCTTAACCAGAGGTTAACGGAAGTATTCAAAACCAGATTTCTGAGAAAACTAAAAAAAAATACCAAATACTTTTGTGTTGGTTGTCATGAGGTGAACAATTTGAATCCTTATAAAGACAACTTTAGTTTTGATTTTCAATCTTTCTGTAAAAAAGCCTAATTTTTTGTGCTAAGTGACTGTTAGGCTTATAAGACTTTGAACCACCTGTCCTTGTGAATTTATTGATTCACATTATTGAGGTTTGACAATATATGAATTTCTATTTTGGGGTAATATACTATCTGAAAAAAATTAGTCAGGCATTTAAAGTATAATAATCAATTTCTTTTTCATTGCTGCCTAAGGCCCCAAAAAAATGTATGTTTCAGGTACTCGGACCGACCCTAACAATTTGATCTCACTTGCATATGTCCACCGGATGCAAATAAATTGATGGACAAACAAACAAGGCAACTATAATATTATACCCTTCTACTTCAAAGGCAGGTATCAAAACCAAATTTGAATCCCATGTTATTATTTAAAACACCTCAACCCCCCCNCCCCCCCCCCCTCCCTATGCATTATGCATGGCCACCCCTCAAAAGATGTAAACAATATTATATAAAATAAGTCGTGAGCGACCTACCCTATTTTTTCAGTCATGCTTACTGAAACATACATTTTTTTTGCCTAATTATAGATACATGGTTTATGTATATGTATCAAAATGATATAGTGCTTACCTTATCAATGGCCTCAGCCAGAAGGGCGTCCAATGAGAACCCCGAGGTGAGTGAAGACAGAGGGGCCAGTGAGATCTGTGGGCTGCAGGATGGGGTTGGGGATTCTGTGTGTGACTGCCATCACAAACATCACATATTAGTCAAGTAAACGGACTCATATATATAAGTTTTTTGTTTTCTGTATATATTTTTGTTAATTTTCCTCAACATACATCTTTAGCATAGCTAATCGAATCAAGTTTATAAAACATACATTAGCAATTCAAGTTTCAATCTGTTAACTTTTAAATTAAATTTTAATATTTTTTTAATACCGCATTTACAGAGCTTCAATCTGAACAATTTCAAGTAGTGACTTCAATATTGTTAAAGGGACTGTTTTTTGCATAGAGTGGATTCAAGCCAACTGTATTTATGTAGAATGTTGCCTCATGGAAATGTAAAAGACAGCAAATATATTGACAATCTTTTTTTTTTAATGAGTTTAAATTTTGTAATCTAAAAACAATGTAAAGTACGTAAAATTGGAGCAATATAATCTTTGTATTGTTTGATCTGAACACAGATTTTAGTATATAAAAGATAAACTTTGCCCATCACCATCCCCTACTTTCCTCCTTTCTTGTTAGAACTTTCTGAATGTGCATAATTTTAAGTATTGGTGTACAACATTTTCTTATGCGATTGTTAAGTAATGTATAAATGCTATACATGCATCATGTATTTTGTGTGTAAAGATAATGTATTACAACTAGCATTAATATTGCATCAAGTTTATTTTGTACGGCGGAATAAGGCCCCCATCTTAAAGACTCTTTGGGTCTATTTATATGACAAAATGTGAATGTCATAACAACCGTCGTTTATTGTAATAAACGGCCATATCCAATTCAGATTTTGTGTCCTTGTTTTATTTCATTATGTTTGTCTTACCAGCTTGCCATGGTGGGTTTCCTGTATAAACATGTACTATGTATACACATTAACAGTACCTCAAAATTTGAGGATTATTAGTCCAAACTCTATAACATTAATAAAGCAAATACTACATCAATGTTTAGCACTTTTCTCTTGAAACAGATCTTTCAACAGTACCAAACTCCCTATAAGACTGATTGTGTATAGATTGTATATCAAGAAAATATTTATATGAATGAGGTATTTTCATGCTTTAACTTTGAATAAAGTTTATTCAAAATCTGTTAAGAAATGAAGGTGCTAGAGTAATACGACACTGATTTTCGAAAACGAACAGGACGAGATGCAACAGAACAGGAATTGTGCACAGGAAAACGATATACACAGATACACAGATACAGATACTACACAGATACACATATACACATATACACAGATACACAGATACACATATACACAGACACACATATCCACAGATACACATATACACAGACACATATACACAGATACACAGATACACATATACACAGATACACAGATACACATATACACAGACACATATACACAGATACATAGATACACATATACACATATACACAGACACAAGGATACACAGACTTTATTGTGACTATAGGATCGTTTACATTTCCTCTGCTGTCAGCTCTGTTACATAAATTAATTTATAAGGTTGGTTGATACTATTGGTAATAACATATGCCCCCTTAAACATTGTCGAAAATAAAATTGTATTTACGTATCATTTTATTGATTGTTACTTGGCTGTGCTTCACCACTACTAAGTTTTACACATTCTTTGGGATTGAATCATTAATAATTCAGTATAAGTATACGGGCCATTAACTTTTTATATTAATAATGCATGGGTAAGAGGCAATGTCAAATAAATGTTGAGAATTTTTCATTATGTTTACATTCATCTTCTAGGTTTCAGGAGGATACCCAGTGGTATACAGAAGCCCTATTATTGTAAAACAAAGCAAATAAATAAAGGAGAGAAGCAACTCATAAACTCTAGGTTTCAGGAGTCGAGGGGTACCTCAAGTGGTATACAAAAGCCCTCTTATTGTAAAACAAAGCAAATAAAAAAGGAGAGAAGCAACTCATAAACTCTAGGTTTCAGGAGGGGTACCTTAAGTGGTATATAGAAGCCCTCTTATTGTAAAACAAAGCAAATAAATTTGAACCCTGAGATAAGTAGGCTTATTGCCTTGCGTGGTCACGGTGTCAGTGAAAATGAAAAGTGACCAAACTAATGATACGGTAAACCAACTCTTCGGCATGGTATTTCAGTGAGGTAACACTATAAAGTCGGCATCAGATCTGCGCTATCACAAAGAGGCAATTACGCCAACATACCCTGCTTCCGGCACACATATAAACACATGCATGCATGCATACACAACACACACGGAGGCACGTCCTTATATGACCTTAGCTGTTGACAGGGTGATTCCAGGATATACTAGTCATGCAGTCCCCCACCTCCCCCAACAGCTGGTGTATATAATTCATTTTGTGCGGTAAAACTTACAGCATTTATGCCCTTTGTTGGAGTGGACGGAATTGGTCTTGAGCTGAAAATAAACAAACAAATCAAATTATACATCTGAAAGTAAAAACAATTACCTAACACATTCCCTTTCAAATACGCGAACTTTTTTTACTTCAATCAAACCATTTTTGAAAGCTTTGAGCCTAGTGGATATATTTGTCCCTGAATACACTATTTAGTTGAAATCGACCTTGACTCACTTGACGCATTACAATGCATTCTATTTAAGGGTTTTATAGTCATATGATTCTGAAAAAGATTGCAGACGAATCATGTTCTGTTTGAGTGGTTTGACATCTGCTTCACTACCATGCAAGTAGTTCATTTTCCAGCAGATGAGAATTTTGCCTTAGCATGTAATGTTTATTTGTCTGCAATTGTGTTCAAAACAGTCACCATAACTCTGAACAGAATCTGGTTTAATATTTTTAATCATATTTCTCATTGTTTTGACAGATAATTGATAATATTATTAAGATTTTTTATTTCTTCATAAAATATGAAGTGGATTTTCAATAAACGGAACAGCAGGTACCAGCCAGCCATTCCAAACAGTATGCATACTTGCCAACTCTCCCTATTTAGGAGGGAGACTCCAGATTTTGGACCCTAAAATTGAGCCTTTTCAACTAGTGAATTTGCTAAACTATTTTTTTTCTTCCAAGATTTGATGATTTCACCTGAAAGAACAGGTCAAACGATGCAATTTAAAAGTGTTATTTTCCCTCTAGGATTGTATTTATGTATGTAATTCAAAGCATGTGTAATCTCCCCCATGGTAAATTTCAAAAAGTTGGTAAGTATGATTATGACATATATATACTTCACAATTATAATGACGTCATGATCATCAGTCCAGTTTTATTATCTCGTAACTAACATCTGTCACCTTGCTAGGCTTATATATAAGTGGCAATTCAAAGCATATGTAAATATATGAAATAAATTTACATGCAAATGTACATAATTAAGCATGGTGGAACTAATGATTAAATTTGACCTCAAATAACTTCAGTTGAACTAAATAAATTATATTGTATAGCAGTGTCTACTTGGAATGGAACCTATTTACATATTGTGCTATTACCTGTGTCAATAAGACTGATCAATATAGGTTCTACTGGCCATGGCGTGTTCATATATATAACACTTGTTTAGGAATTGTTGTTGAAAAAAAAAAAAAAAATGATGGAAACAGAAGGCATGATTCTATGCAACTATCCAACTGCAACAAAATGTAGGTACCATACAGTCTGGGATGTATTATCTTGGCAATGTAACAACACAGTTCAAAACAGATTTCTGTTTAAATGAATTTGGGCAAACTTCAATTAAAATATATCTAATTGAAAATTCAAATAACTAAATTAAAAAAATTAAACCTATTTTTGGTAAAATTTTGCTTTTTTTTTCCTAATCAAGAGTAAAATTCTATGTATTATTTTGTTTTGTTCTTGATAAGTCAATTAAATCAAAAGCACAGTAAATAAACATTTTAGAGAAATAAAAGTTGTTAGATGTTATTAATGCAATATTAATGGAACCAATATTTACATGCATGAAACAACACATAATTCTGTGCCATAACCATTGAATCCTGTGACTAAAGGTTTCTGTGAAGTATATTTAGCTTTTTTGTTATGCTGCTGTCACAGGTGTATGTTTATAGTCGGTACATTGTACATGTACTTGTGATGTAATTAAGCCCATCACACAATACCTTCAGTGGCAGATTCTAGACAGTACCTTGCCTCTGTAAGCGACGTCAGGAAAAATGGGGTCTCCAGCTCATCGTCTGAATCCTCTTCATCTATGTCGACATCACTCCCTCCTTTGGTAAAACAATGTGAGAACTCCTTGTCAAGAAAATTATATACCGTCCGACATGTCTCCTTGTCTACCATACTGTGTAGTAAGTGTGTATGACATGAACATATTAAACAAACAGTAGTATATTCTCTGAAACTTATCAGCGATTACACATGCTGCCTTTCCCAGTATACCTCAGCAGGCAGCAGACAAATGTGTACAAGATTTGATATCCATAATTCATACATCTTATCAGAAGTAATCAATATCCTTCACCACCTGTTTGAAAAAGTGCATATGAAATGTTACACAATTAATGCTCTCCCCAACACTTACGTACTGACACTATACACATCCTGTCGGGACAACAGCTTCGCGCTGTCGGCATATATACTCAAGTGTACAAACACTGTAAAAGTACCTAAACATACACGCCACTCTGGCCTATATATCCTGCTACTGAAACATCTAGGTATTCTTAGCTATCGAAATATGGGTATTTTAATCTCAATGACCCTTTAAAACAATATACCATAGGAACTCATTGATCGAGAACCTGAGTACCAAGGTAAAACAATTTTGATGTTAAATGAATATGGTTATATGAATTAAAGCATGTACTTTTCCATTAAATTTTACTGCAGACTCTACATTAAATATGTGCTTCCTGTTGGACAACAGATTCATATCATATAGGGATATTAGTTACATTTTGTTTGTTTGTATGTGTTTACATCCTATTTACAGATATATATGGTCATTTAACCCTTGAGTGCTAGTCACAACTATAGTTGCGCTGTATGTCTGTGGCCACCACCGCTAGTCACAACTATAGTTGCGCTGTATGTCTGTGGCCACCACCGCTAGTCACAACTATAGTTGCACATTCTATAAAATGGTATTTTATATGGTCAACAGCTAATCGTGTTGATTAAAATTTAATCAAACATATCAAATAACCAATTTCCATTGGTATTATTAGGTTTTACTATTAACACAAGTATTATTTTTGCAATATTTTTACTAAAATTGTGACTTATGAAGTTATATCTAAATTTGATCTGCAGTGAAAATTAAATTTTCTTAATTAATTCAGCACTGATTGGTTACCGTATGTTATTTTAATGTAGCACTCTAAGGGTTAAGGACCTGCCAGGTTTTGGTGGTGGTGGAAAGTCGGAGTTCCCAGAGAAAAACCACCAACTTGCCTCCAGTACCTGGCGACTGTTCCTAGTAGGCCTCAAACCCTTGACCCGGAGGTGGAGGGCTTATTTAGTGTAGCAGAATGCCAGACGCCTTAACCACTCAGCCACCGCAGCCCCTTATTAGCTTAAAACGGAATATGATACATTTATAACCTTCTGTATGAACTTGTATATACTTTGGTATACATATGTATCATTATTTATTACCATTAACTATTTGAAATTGATTTACTATAGTAATCTAATTCTAAAAAACAAAATCGAAATCGAAATTTGATCAAATAGTCTAAAAGGTTCATTACTCCTGGTAGAATATCTATTCTATCAAACAAATTTTATACATAAATTTACACACTGTGCATACATCCAGCTTTGATTTTGTGCAATATATAATTTGTTTGCCTATTCATTTTCTGTGTTGAATTTGCGTTTCAACTTTCAGTGTTAAATTTTCAGTATTGAGATTGTATTCTTTGAAGTATTGAGAAACATTTACTGGTGTTCTGAATTCATGGATTTGTAATGTAACGACAATTAACACCGACATTAAACCTTAATGGACTCATCCAGATCAATGCATGCCAGAGTTCACTAAAGTTGCATAGGGGTGAAAGGGTTAAACTTGAAATAACCATACTAGGGAGGAAATATTTAGGTAAAGTGTACCCACTCCATCAGTTATCATGAAGAAGAGATATCCACTCAGGACTAGTAAGTTTTTAATCCCTTATATACAGAAGATAAATTATTAAAAAGTTTGTTTCTGGGTTAACCCTTTCACCCCTATGTCACTTTAGTAGACTCTACAACGCATTGATATGGATGAGTCCATTATGGTCCACAGTGGTGAAATGGTTCTTTCCTGTGCAAAGTTATATTCAAGATAATCTCTCAATGTTTCATTCCCACATAAGCTGGACTATATTACTTTGCAAAACAATTTATCCTTTATATGCAATATTTAGTTGAAAAGATTGTGACATTGTTCATTAATTAAAACATAGCTCAACTTGGTGGTATTCTTTACTTTTACAATATTTGTTGAGAGGTTCATATGATTTAAGGTTTTTTTTTGTATCCAGGCTTTTTTATTTTAAAAGTGTTTTAAGTGTGACCTTGGACCCTTTGACTTTGACCAATGATCACAAAAATCCATTCAGGTGATGTAATATACCATGGTGTACATATGAACATATAAATATGAATTAAATCCTGTTGAGGGGTTCTTGAAATGTCTTGTATTATTAATAATATACAAGCTTCACGCATATTCAAGTGGTACAGAAAGCAAAGTGATCATTTAGAGGATGACCATTTTATCGCTTAAATTTTCACTTGATGTACATCTCACACCCGATTTACCCTGTAATATAACACTGGATTTTTTTCCCCAGCTATGTACCATAAATTGTTAAATCTAACCTTGACCCTAGGCCTCACTACTGAAAATCATCTTCCCATTACTGCTTAGCCTTATATCCATCTTTTCCCACTTTTATCATTACTGTGCAGATTTATGGAGTCAAGAAATAAATATATCCACAATCTCTGATAATCCGCTGTAAGGTATCCACAATCTCCGATAATCAGCTGTAATGTATCTAAAATCTCCGATAATCCGTTGTAAGGTATCCACAATCTCCGATAATCAGCTGTAAGGTAGAGTACGTACCCTTGCCAAAAAGCATGGGAAAATATTTGAAAACACATACTAAACAGCACTCAATTTTAATGCTTACAGTTATAATTAATTGAAATAAACGATCGTAAACTTGTGATATTTACCGTACCTTCAAATTCTTTGGTATTGTTTGTCTGTGTATACCTGTAGAAGCTTCCTATGTAATGATAAAATGTTTGGGTACAGTGTAATTAAGCTGATATATGATACAGATGATAGGCATATATGCATGTACAACTGTCATTCAGATACGTACATGTAACATAATCAGCTGCTTCACCCTGTTTTCCAATACGATGCACATTAATTTTGGTAGCCTTTTTTAACGACCATATAATGTTACTATACATTCGTTGTTACGAGTTTTACTGCTTATGTCTGACAGTAGGTATTTTGCGAGGTGAATGTTTTGCTCAAGCTTTCAATAGGTTTGGAGAGGTTTACTGTCTTGCAGGTCTGGCAAGCACAACACCTGCCACAGTTCATAATTAATACATTGAAGTCAGCTGCAGACAGAGACTTCATGAAATTGGGTGAATGTGTATATACAGGCAGTCAATAGCATTACAAACAGCCCACCAGTCCATCAAGATAGATTACGTATACTTTAGTAATAGAATCTTACATGGGATTGTTCGGTGGACAGGGATATCTCAACCCCCGTGTTAGAGTTTGGTTGGTCAGCACAAGGCTTGTCAAGTGCTCAGGCCAGTCAAACTCTTGCACGAGAGTTGAGATATCCCTGTCCATGGAACAGACCCTTGTTTGATTATTTTTCTCACATACTTACAAACAAACAAATTCAAGTCTCAATAAACATCGATCTGATATTTCCGCCAAAACCCAAAACCCTTGGGTTGAGACAGAGATCATTCCTTATTCATAACAATTGTATGATATCACGGAAACAATACATATGACGTCACATCGACAATTCATTATTATGACGTCATAGCGTGTGTCAGCTGTCTTTCCCTACCCTGTGTGAGATAGAGTTATCTTTACCCTAGCAACAACGGGATGTGACCCTGTGAAGTATGTGAGAAATTTGTTCAGCTGTCTTTCCCTACCCCGTGTGAGATAGCGTTATCTTTTCCCTAGCAACAACGGAATATGACCCTGTGAAGTTTGTGAGAAATTTGTATGTAGAGCAAATTGTGATGATAAAATAAAACATTTTGTTAACAACCCTTGAAAATGATCTAAAACATATTTCCTAACAATGACTCGAGTCAACAGCAACAGATGGATAATAGTATATAAGCTTAATGGAGAGAACTGGAAATATAACAGAAAGTTAAAAAGTATAGTAGTGGATAAATATTGATTACACATTTTGAGGCAAGGTAAAACCTGAGAACCCTTGATTTTGAAGTTAACTAACATATCCTAAACCATATGGCGACTGGGAAGGGAATTTGAAGTGTATCACATGCAATGAAAGTATATGCTTCATCATATTATTCAGTTGGTATGCCATATATCCATTTTTTTGAGGGCCTTGACATATACCTACATTATTGTAGTATCTTATTGGGTTATATCTGGAAATATGCATTGCAAATCTACAGGAACCAACTCATTATCAACCATTTATAATTACACACTGTCTAATAAGTGTGTAACAGAAATCTGTATGTCTATATATATATAGCTACTTGAACATACTCATCTCTTACTTTTTAAATTGCCACACTGTTAATTACTGTTGTTGCTTCCATATATTATTCCTTACAGTTTTCCCCCATTTGAAAACTATCACGAGAAAATAAATCTTTCACCCTTAAAACCAATCACAACAACGGAAGACTCTGGTTGTTACACATGCATGACAATTAAAACATACCATTTCATCTGTATGTCTACTTGAACATTATAAGTTGGTAATAATCATTTTTCAAATAAAACATATGGTCTTTGTTGTTTGAACAGTCAATCAAACAAGATCTAGACTGTCCAATAATTTACAGCACTGCAACAATGTAAGTCACTTGAGTGACTGATTTGAAGCTAAATTCACCAAGTTACTTGAAGCAGACAGACATTAGCATCACATAGATGTCATACCCAAAACCATTTGCTAATTTTCTGATAATTATTTTGGCAGGTTCATTCAGCGAATCGACATGCAATTTAGTTACATATCTATAAACATTAAAAGCTAATTAGTATTGGGCCATTTACAGAAATTACCTAAGCACCCACCAATGATATGTCATTAATGTGTTATCTATATGCCAGCCAGCTACAGGTCTTATGTAACTATTCTACGACTGAAGCAACTTCAAAAGATTTCTAGGACATTTTATCCTGTGACCCAGAAAATAGGTCAAGGTCACTCACTGAACAAACTTGAAAGCCTTTCACCCTGGTACTGGCCAAATAACATGTATCTAGGCCTCCAAGTTATTCTGAAGTTGTTAAACATTTTCAAATGTTTAACCTCTGTGCCCTTGAAAGTCCATCGAGATCAGATCATTCATCTAAACTTGATAGATCTTTATCCAAACATGCTACTGACAAAACATCATTACCCAATACCTCTTCAGTTATTTATAAATAGTGTGAATAATCACATGAATTAGTAAGATGTTAAAAGACTAGGCGACACCGATTGTGGTACCAAGCAATTTTTTTCCAAAAACTCTTTCATGGAAAATGTTTTTCCAATGTCTCAAGCTGCAAAATAACTTTAATAAAATGTATAAGGTAAAAGTGTGTAACATATTCCAAATCAAATTCAATCTACACAAATATAGAATTATATATACAAATATTGACAGTACATGTACTCACCAGCATAATCCTCTCCTGCCTTCCAACGTTCTGTGGTACTGCCTAGACTTCTGTGCTTTGGTCCACTCAGCTCTCCATCTCTCAGTCTCTCGGTTGATTGGCCTGTAGCACTAGTGCCCATCTCCTTTGACTTTTGTCGACCTGGCTCTTTTCTCTCACTTTGAGAGGAAGAATCACCCTGTGATCTGTGTCTATGCCTATGTCTATCAGAGTTATCTCCCTTTAGCCTATGCCGGTGCCTGTGAGAGTGTACCTGATTACTTCCAGAACTTGAATCGCTATTAATATTACTTTCACTGCTCTTCTCCCTCACAACTCGCCTGTGTTCACTTCTATGTGAGGTATGAGATTGTTTGACATGGCTTTCTTTGTCTCTAGAATATGACCTTGCCCTTCCTGTATCAGAAGAGTGTGCACTTCCCCCACTTAAATTTCTGTTTTTGACTTTATCATTGTCCCTTTGACTACCTCTCCCCTGGCTGGATCCAGAGGAATGCCGAGCCCGTCTGGGAGATTCTCCTTCACACGAGTATTGTCTCTTGGGTGATTGCTGAGTAAGTTCTGGTAAGATACTTTGTCTTTTGTCTTTATTTGCGTCAGAAACATTACATAGCTCTTTTGATCTGGAGTCATTGTGAGGATGCCCAGAAACCTGGCGATCAGGACCACGCTGCGTTGAAAGTGCCTTGATCTGTTGTTGTTCTTTTGTTCTATTCTGTGTAGTTATAACTTGGCCACAATTATCATTGCTGCCACTTGCATATCCAGAAATGTCCATGTCAGTTTCAGCTCTCTTACTACCTCTAAACTTGTCCACGATTGGGCTGTTTTGTGCATCGACAGACGTTTGCCCAATGACAGTAGAACCAAGCATGCTTCTTTGATCTTTGTTATTGTTTCTTGTCTCATCAATCTTTAGTTCAGCTGTCCTTCTCTTCGATTCATTGCTATCCTTTGAGTAAATGTCGGGGGTTTGTTCTATCATGGTAGACTTGACAGGCCTCTGATCTATTCTTTGAAAATTTGTTGGACTTTTATTCGACAGTTCCTTTGATTTATCCAAAGACTGTGAAGAACTTGCTTGACCTTTGGGATCATTGCCGCCACTTGCATATTCAGAAACTTCCATCTCCTTTTCTACTTTCTTGCTGTTGTCAGACTTGCTGATTTGACTGTTTTGTTCATTGTCAGACTTTTGCCCTGTGACAGTAGAACTAGGCATGCTCCCTTGATCTTCGTTCTGTTTTCTTGCCTCACCACTCTCTTGTTCAGTTGTTCTACAGTTTGACTCATTTAAACTATCCCTTGCGTTGGGATGCTGATCCATCATGGTAGACCTGATCACTCTCTGATCTGTTCTTTGAAAGCTGGTGGAACTCTGACTCAAATGTTCCTTTGATTCATTCAAAGATTTTGGAATGATTTTATCACCTTGAGCATATTTCATATCAGGATTGTTGCTAAGCTTGCTACCAGCGTTGTGGTTATCCCTTTTTTCTCCTGACTTTCCATCACTGCCATCAGAAGAATCTCTGTTTGAAGATCTACCTGGTTTATCATTGTAATCATTTTGATACCGACCACTGCTGTAAGGTCTACCACTATTGGAGGGGAACTGCCCTTGGTTCCTATCACGTGGTGAAAATGTATTTCCTGTGTCCCTACCCCTCCTGGACTCATTCTCTGATCGCCACCTTGACCCCATTTCAGATTCCTCTCTACTGTCTCGGTAATGCTGTCCTCTATTCCTGTCAAAGCGTCCATCTTGTGTGTAGTAATCAGGCTTTTCCTGTCGACGTCTTGGAGAACTATTCTGAGGTGATCCATAATATCTTCGTGTATCCTGACCCCGAGTCCTGTTCGGACTATTATACTGTCTCCTGTCACCAGGATGGAACCTATCTTTGTAGGCCAAACCAATATTTGGTGAGGAAGCAATCCTTTCCTTGGCATTGTCACCTTTGTCCCCCGATTGCATTTGGTTTCCCTCAGGTTTTTTATCAGTTTCCACTCCTCCTTTCATCGTTGATTCTGCTCTGTAAGGTTCCTTACCAGGTGTACGCCACATATCTCTTCTGTCTACATTTCCTTCCCTGTAACTAGACACATCCAAACTCCTTCCTTGGTTCCACATCCCCTCTTGTCCCCCTCTATCTATTGGTACACCAAGTTTAGGCGTTCCCCTATAGCCTTGTTGCTCTCCTGACCTTGACCTGTTCCTCTCTCCAATCACAGAAATCCTCTGTCCCAGCATCGCATCTAGATCTTTGTTTCCACTTGAAGGTGTTTTGTTGGCTGTATCAGGACGTCCACTTATGGCCGATTGACCTGATACTGTACTAACCTGAACCGTACCTGGTTGTTTGTCGTTGAACTGTTGTTTGTCGTTGAACTGTTGGTTGTCATTGGACTGTCCACCAGTGAAGTAATCATTGGAGGACCAAGTTTTTCCTGGCTCTGGTGTTTTGGGTGAATCTTTACCACTCTGGAGAGGTGTACCAAAAAACTGTTTTCTATCCTTCATTCCCGGAGATATTGACTTATTCTTCTCTGTGCTTGATGGTCGTGTCAAGAGATTTCTTGCATCTCTAGATTGCTGTGGTGAACCTTGAAAATAATGTATACCGTACATATAATATACAGATGAAAGAAGAACTGTAAAGGAATGAAAAATGAATACAAATATCATAATGGAATAATAAGAATGTGATTGGGTTAATAACTGTCATATTTCAATTTCAATAGGAGACCAACCGAATGAGATATTAGATTGTAGACTATATAATTATAATTTCACATGTACCAAATTTTGCAAGTTTGCCCTACTGCACTTATTAGAGAGGACAATGAAATTGCATTTGCAGAATGATAGATGAAATTAATTTTGCAGGGAAAGTCGACACCCAGCATCATTTCTAAATCCTGTATTTCAATCTCTATAACATATGACCTCTTTTTTTATCCAACTACACCATTATATTATATACTCTGAAAATCGAATTTTATGATACAATGTTTTATAACTTTTCAACATTCCACACGACAGGACAATGACTCCTGATAATGAATATAAACACCTATTTACAACACATAGTGACTGTATACAGGTTCATATAACACAACCAGTAAACTGTTAGAGTGACATTTTGATCACTAGCACAATAAGTACTCTGTAATCTATTTACATGTTTAGTTTTATGAAAACGACAGTGTACATATCGTACTAGGCATTGAAATGTCACTTTCAAACATCTCACTGAGCCTGTGCTAAATGAATCTGTATACTATCAACATGTACCTACCTGTCAAAGAAAATGTCTCGAAATAACACATACAGTGATTTCACCGAGGACTGGGTGCTAGATATTTACACACTGTACAGTTTCAAATTCAAGGTTTATGCTACTTTACACGTCAGTGATTTAGCATCATATTTGTGTTTGAGTTATCTCCCTTACATTGTAATATTGTTAAAAATACATGAATGCATGCACCGTCAGTGATTTTCAGAATTTTGTTTCACTGGGATGAACAAGTGCTCAATTGTTAAGGCTTGTAATCAACTTTCGACATTATTGTAGTTTGTCATCACATAAATTCCTTAAAGTGTGTGTCCTACACCCTCTAATATATTATCAATCATGCATGCATATAAACATTCCGTTTTGAAAGTCACAAATCCCAAATTTGAAAATAAATGTGAAAAAATACATCCAACTATTTGCTATAGGAAATATGTCACAATATTGAACCTTAACAAGAGAAAGAAAACACAGAGAACAGAAACTCAAAAAATCAAGCCAGCCATCACTCACCTATTTATTTTGCTTTCAAAGAACTAGACAATGCCATGAAATGTTTCTACTAATCTGAGACTGAAGTGGTCATCTAAGATTGCTTTTCAACCCAAAAAAATATATTTAATAACAAGGCCAATACAAAATATTACCTGTGTTTCATGTATCCTGACCTCCCCTACATTTTCCAGTTGACCCCTGAACATTTTATTACCTTCTTGTTTCAAATATAATTGATTTATTTGCCAGTCAAAAGCTTAGTTACTCATTAAAATGTGCGTTCTTTCTGTATTGGGAGCCTTTGTATTTACCTCATTCATGACAACTTAATAGCAATTGAGATGTTTTAAAATGCAAACTTTAAAGGTGAAGCATAATATTGATCCATAAAATAAAGCCCTTTTGCCAACTGACATTTGTTTCTGGCATGTTACCTGAAACTCATAATTCTTATTCTAGCCTAATTAAGGCAATGATTGAAACATGTGTATGATGCTTCGTTTAAATGATGAGATGGAATCAAGGAAGATACAATAAACACTTCAGACAATCAGAGGACAGGATGACCATAAATGTTTTGAAATCACCATCCTCCACTCCAAAGGAACACTTTTAGTTATAAGTACCATAAAATGTATTTGTAACAGTTTTTGATACCATTGGCCTCTGAATCCAATCAGAGGACAGGATAATATCTTTGATTGTGAACTGATCTAGGTTTTTCGATAGCACTACCTTGTACAACACCAAAACCAAACCCTTTTCCTTCGAGAAGTTCCAAACAAAACAAAGTCAAAATTCCTTTTTCCATTTTGGACAAGTGTCTAAGCTTTATGGCAAAGAGTTATAGGACGGATCTACACCAAGGCCAAAGCCCACTTGCTCCTTCAGGTCAGTTCAAACAAGAATCCCAATACCTAGGATGGGTGACTGAGAGTGTGTTTGCATGCATATTAAGTGTACATAGTTGGGTCAATAGTTGAGTATTTGTTATTGTGAAATACCACAAACACTGTACCATTTAAGTTTCAAAACAATCTATGTAAATGGTCTCTACACAAAGTGCACTTCTCAATCTATGGTTTTTATGCTAATTAACATTTTTTATTTTACAACAATTAAGATACAAAATTTCTCAATCCATCACCTTCAAATCTTTCCCCCTTCCACCCCCCTCCTCCTCCTTTTGTTTTCCTTTATCTCTAACCTTTCCATGTAATAAATTACAAGATGATAATGGAATACATATATGGAGGCAACGGATACAACTAAAACACATCTATGAAGATTTTACCTGTGTTTGTTTCACTATCCTGTGACATGCGTGTGTCACCCTCCAGGCTTACAAGTTCCATGCCCTGTTGCACATGCTCCACATCCGAGGGATCTGTCTGGGTTGTATGACCAGTACTTCGACCCAGGTGTTCACCTAATGGACACCGAACCTCGTTTTGTTGGATTTCTTTAATGGACGGATTTGATTCAGTGTGCATGTCATGGGATAGATTTTGATTTGGCTCATTTTTATACAAGACGTTTGAGTCTACTTGTTGTGCCGTTGTGGGTCCATTTCCATTCTTGCCACTTAATATATAAACAGAATTATTGCTAACATCCTCACCTTCTGAGCCAACACCTGTCAGTCTGGTTTTCTGTTCCTCTGAACATTTTTGTGGTGAATGATCAGTGGTAGCTATTTCATCAGATGCTGTACCTGAAGCTTGTGTTGCAGTTTCTATAACACCTGGAACATCCTCTGCAGTCGTGACGGTCCAGGACTTTCCCGTTTTCGTATTTTCCACTTCAGTTGACCAATCATTGAAATTTTCGAGGACTTTTGAATAGACTTGAGACTGCTGGTTGGATCGGTTTGGTTTTGTATAAGAACCCTGTGAACAATCTGTCATCTTTTTCCAGCTGAACCGACTCTTAGCTTTCTTTTTCCACTTCTTTCTACATCTCTTTGGTGAAGTGAAGTTCTGAAGAGCTGTTTGATCCTGGTAAAGAGGAAAATTTCCAACGGGTTGTTGCTGATCATTGTTGAAAATATTGTCAAAATTACTAGAAGTAGATCTATGAGAGAAGAACTTTTGCATCATACTTATCAAATTTGGTCTGATCAAGTTCCATGCTGCTGTATTATTGTTAAACTGTTGTCCCATATCTTGTCTTTCTCTTGGACAATCAGACTCGTTGTAGAATGGTCTTCCTCTCTGACTTTCAAACTCAGGAGAGCTTTGTGTTTCTCCAAAACTTTCTGCCTGACAGTTTCGAGGCCCACCCAAATTACAACTCGCCCTGTCTATCAACCTGTTACATTGACCAGTATTTTGTTGCATATTTGGATGGCCAAACTGACCAGGAAAGCCTCTACTTCTTTGGTGCTCCATCTGCCCCATGCCTTGTCTATCATTCTGGGAAGTTTGATTACATCGGAACTGCTGATTTTGAAATTGTCTTTGAGGATTAAAATTGTTCCGATCCCCTTGATAACTCTGCCTATTCTGAGCATTTTCATACATATTTGTACGGTACATGTTAGTGTTATCTCCATATTGCGAGTTATTTTGCATAGGAAACTGGTCTCCATTTCCATATTGTCCAAAATTTCTGCCTCCATTATTATTGCTGGTGTTATTACCACCAAAACCTTGTGGTCTAGATCCTCTACCCATATTAAGGTTTTGGTTAAAAGGATGCATGCTGGCATAAATATACCAAGTAATGTGTATGCAAATTTGGATGACAAGATGCCAGTGTGTATATATTCACAAAAACAATGTTCTCCAGTTCCAACATAGAATTGGAATAAAAAAAAAAAAATTGAATGCAAAAACAATGCTTCCAAAGTAACAATAGACACGATACAACAGAAAGGGTAGGACTACAAAATCAGGTTCCGTTGTCCAGCAAACGTGTATATAACATATAGGTACACACAAACGTACATTCTGGCATCCAAAATGAGCTAAACTACAAGTCTATTACTGTACAACAGTCCGGTACAACATCTCCGCAATAGCAAAGCAGAAGCACAGACAACTATCATCTAGGTGGACCAGCCAATGGGTGGACAGTTTACATACCGTTGACTTCTCTGTGAGGAACACGACCTGGTGGATGTCTATCAGCTGAAATACATATTGAAGTTTAATCAATTACAGTTACATGTATAATTGTAGATATACATGTATATGATTTCATACAGTTCTAAAGTCTGAAGCTATCTTTTGTTTAACTCCGTCCTAGGTTTACAGGTTTACAATAGAACCTTAAAGTCAGTGACTATCAGGTTTAGAATCACAAACAAAATCAAACAAAATCATACTTTCAGTTCCATCGTGATGCGTTTGATGGTTTCAAATTAACAGTCTGGAAAAGATTTCACTGGAAGTTTACTTTGTATTAATTACTGATATATAAATACTTAACCTTTAATTGACCTTGAGGTGAAGGTCATCAAGGTGACCAAACTATAATGCCCTCCTTGGTGAGGAGGTGCACTCTTAGTTTCATTAATGCTTTAAAAAGTTAGCTTTGACAAGTTTCACGCAAAATTTTGAACTTATTCAGCCATCAAGCTATAGGTGAAGGTCAGAGTAACCTATTTATATTGTAAGTGATGCAGTTCCAACTAAGAACCAGTAAGATGAAGGACCAGCACTAATTTGTTATAGAATTTAACGTACCTCCTTCTGCTTAACTAAACTTTGATTAGTTTAGAAACCAACATTTGACGTTCGACAATACAAATAAAGCAAATTAAGAGTGTGAACTAGAATTTGAGTATTGCCATCTCCTGGACCACATGTTGCCTTCTTGGTGATCACCCCAATATTGACCCCCGCCTGCAGCCTACTTTGGACGTCTATACTTCCTGTGTCGTATACCCCTACCAGAAGTTAATGTACCAAGGCCTTTTGATGAAGACACAAAACGAAAATGTCCACAATGGCAAGTAGTAAGTTGGAGAGCCTGCTAAATGAAAATGTTTTAAGAATACAAAACGAATATTTTTTGGAGCAGTGCGTGCATTAACATGATTTTAAATGGGATACAGAGTGACCCAAGGTTTATATTTTCAAGAAGGACATTTGGACAAGCAGATAGGTGAGTTTTACAACAACAAAAATGAAGACGGTATATAAACTTACTGAGATATGGTCTTATAAAGCATACACTACTGGAAATAATAAAGGGGGACATCAGCAATTAACTGCAGTGAGAAGATTGAAGCTTTAGTGTGAATTTGTGTTATCCAGTTGTACAATATAACTTAATTAAAGAAGAAAGAATATTCGGCCACCATTCAGCGATTAGTAAATAGGATATGCAAGCATTATTACATTCAGACAAAACTAACACCTATGACTTACATTGGTATGCTGAAAAACTGTCTAAAATGAAGCTTTCCCTTGATATTACATTTATATTTATTTATTAATTTCAAATTTGAAAATTCACTTTCATTGTTGTATGGATTGTATTTGGTATAACAAGCATTCTGTGGGTATTGATCAGATGAATCAATACATGTACCCTACCGGCACCACAAACAGACTAAACAATATTAATGCTAGACCCATAAAATAACCTCTGTTCAGAAAATCAGCATCCTAACACTATTATTAAGTGAACGGTCAGCCATTACAAAACTTTAACCCAAACTTTAACCTACAGATTTTTGCCAAGAGTTAAGTTGATCACACGTCAAAAATTCAAAAACAAACAAAAAATTCCACTGTCACTAGACAACATTAATGCTAGACCCCTAACTGGACCCCTAACGAACACACATAAAATCAGCATCCCAAGACTATTATTAAGTGAACGGTTAGCCATTACAAAACGTTAACCCAAACTTTAACCTGCACATTTTTGCCAAGATAGTAAAGTCGAACTCATGTCCACTGTCACTAAATAACATTAATGCTAGACCCCTACGCAGACAAAACCTATAGTCCCCCCAGTTTCACCGGTAGGGGACTAATACACCAATTAATTAGCCTATATTGGTATAATATAGGTTTTAACACTGTATCATGACTTGACTGAAATGCCATGTCCCAATATGGCCAGAATGCATAAAGAATTTTCATAATACATGCAATCATTATACTTAGTGTTAAATTGCATTTGATAGTCGAAAATGTACAATGGTTAAAGTAAACAGTGCCTTCAAGCGTGCTTTTTCTAACTAAATGGCATTGACATACAACACTGGCAGATTGAAAAGACACTTAAAGCTCATAAATGTAAGTGATATATATGTATGTTTCAAAATAAAACAAGATGCTTCAAAATTCTGAGGTGTATGTGCTCACAAAGTTATACCATCTGTGAAGTAACACATCCTGTTGAAAAGAGTAATACACAAGATAATACATTGTCTATGGGTGTTGTAATTAAGGATCACTATATATATATCCCACTACACTCTTGTTCTTTCCTATTTATACAGTAACCTCCCTTTAATTTCTGTTTGGACATAACTGCAGCATATAGTTGGACCAGGACACTTCTGTTGACCAGTAGCTCAATTGGTTAGAGTAATAGTATAACAATCTGAAGTCCAGTGGTCAAACCCTGTGGTCTAGCCATGCAGATTTGTTCCCACTAAGAACACTCTTGTTGATTCTTTTTTGTTTGTTTCATCATTTTGTCTTCTCATAAAAGTCATGCAAGGTATGGTACTGAATTCGTAAACTCGAAACAATGTTTTTGGTTATATTTTGTTTGTCTTATTATTATTTCTCAAAAAAAATCAAGATTTATTGCAAGAAATAAACGCATTATTTGCAGTGCTTTTAGTCAATTTCAAATTTCTGTTGTTTATGCATTTTGAATGCTCATTCGAGGTTGGTTGTACTTTGAGTGTTTCACATATAAACTCAAAACTTGTATAAACATGCTTTTTATTCCAATTGAGAAAATAAAGACTGAAATTGGAAAAATGCAGGGTCATTTTTCAACTGGGAATGGGTCACTGTACCAGACGTCCCTATAAACACCTGGCAAAAACCCTGACAATTAAGTTACATGTAATTTATTTAAAGATTCTCTTTTTGCTGTTTACATATATACTCCCCAGATTTGCCAAATCCATTCAAAATGCAAAAATATCACCAGACAAATCTTTTTTTCTTTCTTTCTAAACAATTTGCTCACATACCCATCTCCCTAGATTTATTGAATTGTCACATTCAGGGCTTTCATGATCAGTATATAGCCCTATATAATGCAAACTGTTTCATTGGCCAATACAGGGTAGATGTTGGTATGACAAGGTTTTTCTACATTGATATCATAGATGTATCATTATGTGTTCATTAAGAAACTAATTAATTATTCATTCATATATATATGGCCCCACATACATTATTTTGTAACACATGATAATGCAGAAGCATATTATGCCAGTACCAGCCTCATGTGTCATCTTATATATCTATAATCTTTGTGTGAACTGTTTTATTTTTAATTTACAGGCATGAAGATTTTCAAAACATTATTCTTGCTACTCACATGATGGTGATGACTTCAAAAACTTTGTTATTGTCTGCAGCCTATAAAACAGAAGGATACTAAACTTAAAAACTAGTAATCCATTTATTCAACAACAAATTACATGTACATGTAATAGTTTAATCTTTATAGGAGGCCTGTAAAAATCAATATATAACTTTACCTCAAAATCAGTAAGGCAAAAAAAAAAAGAGGTCTGTCTAGGGTTCCCAACCGGCCCTAGCTTTTTACCCCTGACCCAAAACTTTTTGATGAAAAAAAAAAAAAAAACGCTGATTTTTGAACTTTAGAAGGTTCCTTGCCTTTCAAAATGGCTTCCAGCCCCGTGTTGGCGCTAAATGTCATCATATGCAGCACAATTTGCCTCCAAATAAACCTTGTTTATGTAATTCTTTGTTTTACATACAATAGTAGGGTCATAATCACATGACCAAAAATATACAAAAAAAAATAAAAAATCTGACCTACCTACCCTAGTTTTTTTACCCATGCAACTCTAAAAAGACTATATATTTTGTTTGGCCTTATAAAAAGGTGATCTGTATACAATGAATTAGACGTTGAAAGTTGCAGAAATTGGCATATAATTCAATTTGGATATAAAAAAATATCTAAATAACCCCTTTTTAATTTTTTTTTTTTTTTTCAGTACAATTCTCATGGAACTTTTTTACCTTTTCGCCAATCTGTATTGTAATTAGTTGCTTGTCTTTCTAATCTATACATACACCAGTTCTTTATATTTTCCTGTACCAAATATTACACAAGAGTGAAGATATCGAACAACAAATTGGAGGAAAATATCTTTTTATTACTTTTATTACGATCAAATTCCCCAAGCTGTATTTTTTCCTGTTATATTGCCATTACCAAATAAACAATAAATAAATTATTTTGCAATTAGTTTGAAGATAAATGTTATAAAATGTCTGGACTATTCATATAAGAAAGTTAGAAACAAGGAAATCTGAATGCACATAATTAGCCATTTTGTAAAATTTTGGATCCATGGCAGTGCTCAAAATATTGACAGCAGTATATATAACTTTCTACTTCCAGTTTGCCTTTTTTTTCTTCTTAGATGACACATATATGAACAGTTTCAATTAAGCAAGTTTAAAATCATCTGGCATGTCGATTATAAAAGCCAGGTGAACAAATCAACCAGACTACATTGCATTGTAAATATACATGCATGTTCCTTTCTGTATCAGTTTTTAGTAATTTTGTTCATCGAACATCGGTTTCAAATGCACAGAGAATAATTCTCAAAAACAGTAGTTGATTTTTTTAAGAATGTGGAAATTGTTCTAAGAAAGTGGATAAATTTCCAGATCAGAGGGGAATCTTATGAGATGGGGGATTTCAATTCTCTCGCCAGGGGAATTTTCCTTTCCCATAAACTGATATGGTCAAGAGACTATACTGTATACAGGCATATTGGGTGTCTGGGGGTTGGTCTAAAATGCCTACGTTTTTATTCAAAATTGGAATTATTTCAAAGAACATTAAAATGTCTATACATTTCGTTATCCTGATGTTGTGTTACTTCCATGCAACGAAAATGTCATAGAAATTGCAGAATAGTGAAAGCGAGAGAAGCCCTGGCCATCAATAATGGTCTGACCATGGTTAAGTCGCAGATGTAAAGGGACATGTCTTAGGGGACGCAAATTTAAATAACACAAACCCCTTTTCTGCCTTTCTCTTGTTCATACTGTAAAAATCAGTATGTATTTAGCCATTTCTGGTGAAATACTGAGTATTCTTGTAACTTGACATTTTCAACAACAGGAAATACCGGAAAAATCCGTGGTTGATTCTTGATCAGTCGACTGCTTGGAAAATCATTCTCACTGTAACGCTTAACTAAGGGAGTTACCGCCCATAGACCATTGGTAGCAGTGTACAGTAGAAATGGCTCGACCCTAAAAATAAAGGGCATGCCTCACATAAACATGGATAGTGAATTCAACCTGCACAAACACCTACATATATATACATATACATTTTGATTTCATTTTGTTTAGAAGACTGTTTTTTTTTCAAAAACTGTTTTCCAAGGATTTGGGACTTGTGAAAACCATGGTTACCACATCAAAAAAAACACCAAATTATGCAAAAAAACATGATTTTTAACCCAAAATTTGACCCCCGCAAGTAGGTTTGTTTTTTCTTAAAACCTGTCTGAAATTTTTAATATCGCCTACTCGGTAACAGAAATACTCACGTTTTAGCATAGGTCATTCCGGTGGATTTTTCACAAAATAGACACAGATTTGTAAAATAGTCCACTTCATCATGTATATGCCAATTTTAATGCTTTTTTTTAAATTTTGATACATGTTATATTACAGGGGGTATTCATCCTATAAATATATCACTCTACTGTACACTGCTACCATTGCATTTAGATCATGATCACAAAGCCTCATAGTCAAGTGTTCTGTCTTTTAAAAGCATCCTCGATATCCAGGGGTTAGGCTAACTTTCGCTAGCATATCTGTTGAATTCAATATTCATTATTTAAAGTTCGACATTTAGAATTTGTTGTTAGATGATAAGAAAAACAAGAAGCACAACTGCTTGTTAAAATGTTCTCAGGCATAAACGCATTTCACATATTTGACCTTAAAAGTTGTTCAAAGTACCACACTTATTTAGCAAACTCGATAGAAAAACGATACGAATAATTTCAAAGCTTGTCAATTCCGTCTTTGCGTATTGCAGAGTTATCTTCTCTTGGTCGCAGGTATTGATTGTTACGTCACTTGTTTGTGAGAGTAACGTCATCAACTTTTGAGAAAACGACGTAATTTTCTCACACAAACCAATGACGTAACAATCAATAACTGCTCCCAAGAGAAGATAACTCTGCAATACGCAAAGACGGAATATCAGTAATACATTAAAATATTTTATTTGGACAAACATAATTTATATCACGAGTTAGAAATACGTCACAGTACAGGATCAATGACCGAAATGTGTTAATGAGTTCTCGCACAATCAAGAAACAGGAAAAACATTATCATTACGCCAAACCTCGTGAACATTTACAGTTTAGAAGCAATATACAGATTTTGATATATTTGACCATTACGACCAAGAAGTGGGTAAATGTCAATTATTCAAAAACGGTTCAAAGCCTCTTAACAATTAAAGTATTAGGAAAATTTCGTTACTCATTTCAAATATTTTCATTGGACTTACTTATACTTTCTGTTTATGAATGTTTCTTCAGTGAATCAATCCAGAGACATATGGAGCCATATGTTGTACATTGTACAAATGTAAAGTTTCGGTTGGTCGGGTCGGGGTGGTGCAGTGGATAGCGCACTTGCCTTTCACCAAGGCGGCCACTTGTGCTGTCGGTGCTGTCGGTGCTGGGAAGGATTCATCACAATTGTTGTACACGTATACTGCTATTATGCGTGTAGGAGTGGGTGCGAGAGTGCGTGTGTGTGTGTGCATGTGGTTGTGTAAGCATATGGGTGAAAATAAACGTATCAGTAAATATTTACTTCAAACTGTTAAATGCTAATAATTCTTTGCTCACACGCTACTTCTTTTCTATTCTAATATTATAGATATTGATATTTAGCCATCTTTTGATGTATATATATGTTTTATTAAATTGTAAGGAAATGGCGATTATAATGTTCATGTAACTTGTGCCCAATCCTTTTGCTGAATTTATGGCAATATAATATGTTTAAACTAAAACCAAGGCGGCCGTTGTTCGATTCCCCGATCGGACGTGAATAGGTTGGGGTCACCTGCCCGACCACGTGGGTTTTCTCCAGGTAAACTGATTTCCTCCCACACTATAACATAAGACCCCCGCGCGCGCTTACATCCGGGCCAACAAGAGTGATTAATGGTCGGACAGGGTGACTTCATACCTTTTCAGAGGTATGTGTACGCCTGTCTTGTTACATGTAATAAGCTATATACGTACATATACCGCTCATATAAGAATGTCCTATTTTCTGAACTTCATGTAGATATTATAATGAATTCTCGACATTGGCAAGCATTAGCAAAGTTCAGTTGTATTGTATTGTAGTATTACATTGTATGTTGTATTGTAGTATTATGTTGTATTGTAGTATTGTATTGTTGTATTGCATTGTACTGTAGTATTGTATTGTAGTATTGTATTGTAGTATTATGTTGTATTGTAGTATTGTATTGTTGTATTGTATTGTATTGTAGTATTGTATTGTAGTATTATATTGTAGTATTGTATTGTAGTATTATATTGTAGTATTGTATTGTAGTATTATATTGTAGTGTAGTATTATGTTGTATTGTATTGTAGTGTAGTATTATGTTGTATTGTAGTATTGTATTATAGATGTTGTATTGTAGTATTATGTTGTATTGTATTGTAGTATTATGTTGTATTGTATTGTAGTATTGTATTGTTGTATTGAATTGTACTGTAGTATTGTATTGTATTGTTGTATTGTACTGTAGTATTGTATTGTTGTATTGAATTGTACTGTAGTATTGTATTGTATTGTAGTATTGTATTGTAGTCTTATGTTGTATTGTATTGTTGTATTGTAGTATTGTAGTATTGTATTGTACATATACACGTGTTCATTAGTATTTTAGTGTTGTATTGTACTGTATTGTATTGTATTGAAGGTATTTTGCATACAACAGCCGAGGTTCCCCTACCCCTTATCTACAGTACACACAAATACGTATTTACTGTATACAGTTTAGACAGGAGGCATGTCATTGTATTTTCACACCTACACCAGCAATGCAGTAAATATATTCATATATGTCTCTACCTGTTCTAGGTAGATTTCTGAGACTGCTATAACATGTGTAGGTAAATACAATGTCCATCAAAAGATCATTCCCGCTTTTAAAGCAAGGCGTTTCAACTTGAGATGATAACATTTTTAAACTTGATGTTAACTCAAACTTACAGATCTCGGTCAATAATCTGTCTAGTATCTGTATGTAATAGCTTACTGTATTAATTACATGAAAAGGTCCTGGTGAGAGTCTAACTCTCATTATTAATTTTCAAAGTGTACTGTTCCAAGTGCATTGTAGCGTCTGTGAGCAAAACATCACAACACGACAAAAGAAGCGATGATTTGTATCTTTTATTCCGTAGCACCAACTTTCACGCAATAAAGCTTTATTTATGTGGACGGATGGACAAACATTTCTCATCCAACAAAGTCACGTTTACTTATTGCACAACAACGGTGGAAACAAACTTAAAACTGCAAAATATAACACAAACCCTTCATTACATTTAGTTTGAAGAATAAATCTCATGCAATATGGTGTTCTCATTTTCTCGTGTTTGTATTGTGTATATCACATTAGAATGAGCCTAGCACCGATCTTAGATCAAGATGTCAAATGAAAAATCAAACTTGTAAATGACGTTGTCACATCAGTGATTCTTGGCCATAATGTCATAGCCAATCACAGGACAAAGTGAAATAGTACGCAGGTTGTGTCTTGTAAAAAAACATGCACGGAATGGAAATGGTATGTTATAGTCAACGCGATGAAATACACTTCCGATGTGACGTCATGTCCGGTCAAACTTCCACTTTGCAGTCTGTGCTTCGATCTGGTCCTTCAACTGTTTTGCAAAGCAAATGGCGATTATCTAAAAATAAAAAAGATACAATATATTCACATGTTATGATTTCCCTGCGAATATCAGGAACGTCTGAATTTCAACGTATCTCAGTAAGAATACAAACGGGATACATATGCTTTTTGGAGACCAAAATACAGTACTGGTCTTTGTTTCAGTGAAAGAGAGCAATCTACATGCGTCGAGGTATGAAGTATTTCCAGATTATTTAAGTAACTTGTTAAAAAGCGCGAGATCAAGATAGACTGGTTCTCTTCATTCGTTTCGACATTCTCTCTATCAGGGATTGTTGAAGAGGTGGACTGGAGTGCCTTTCGTACTTTTTCTACTCTCCGCCGGCTGGCTTCTACGAAAAATAGTCTCACTTAAAGAGCGCCGCCTAGTTGAGAGAAACAGTACTAAGGCAGGACTAGGTAAGGCAGAAAGTACTCACATTAAGGGAGAGAAACAATCGGGAACCGTCGGTCCTTTCAGTAAACGAGAAAATAGTTTAATGTACGGAGAGTGCCGATGGTTCCTGATTGGGAAATAAACAATCTATGGGATATTAATGACTAATAGAGATATATAAATGTGTGAAAGTTTCAATCTCATTTTTCGAGTCTACTCCCAGGGTGGCTCGTCAAGGGTTTTCTGTGTTTTTACTTTACCTGAGGTATGAAGATTCCTAGTGTACTGCCCCCGACGATCAGCGAGTTACGTTGTATCCATACTCCCAGTTTGTACAGACAGCCCTCGGGATGGATTGCCTTCTCCGCAACCTCGGTCTGTTACAAACATAACGAAACAAATGTAAGAAAACCAATTTGGAAGAAAAAGAAAAGAAGAAGAAGAAGAAGATATTCACTTCGAAGAGGATAGAGCATATTTTGTAGACCATCAAAAGTCTATAATTTGCCGATTGAAATTCTAATTGGTGGAAAGTTGACGGTGGGGGAGAATATAGGGCGCTGAGGGTATAAAACGTGTGCTAAATAATTTCTGAAAATAAGATATTAAAACATAATAGTTACTCCTTTTTTACTTGAAATCAGGAAAAGTATGCTGAGCGAAAATTTTTATTTACTGTATTTAGAAACCAACCTGCTAGAAGACATTACTTCATTGACGTTCCGACGTTGATCTTTGAATGCATGTATTGCTACATGTATATATACAATGTACGTATGGTAGGGAAGGCGATCTGACGTATGAGTTTACTTACCGTTACTTCCAGAGCACTATTACCACACAGTATGTTGATCTTGTCCCCCTGGAGCATTAAAGATGTGTCAGGTGTAATACATTTTTACAACTTGAGGATACATACAATCTTACAAGCCGCACACCTGGGTCACAAACATGCTGACGTATCACATACCTGTGTCACAAACATGCTGACGTATCACATACCTGTGTCACAAACATGCTGACGTATCACACACCTGTGTCACAATCATGCTGACGTATCACATACCTGTGTCACAAACATGCTGACGTATCACATACCTGTGTCACAAACATGCTGACGTATCACATACCTGGGTCACAAACATGCTGACGTATCACACACCTGTGTCAAAAACATGCTGACGTATCGCACATCTGTGTCACAAACATGCTCACGTATCGTACACCTGTGTCATAAACATACTTCGGTATGGCACACCTGTGTCACAAACATGCTCACGTATCGCACACCTGTGTCACAAACATGCTTCAGTATCGCACACCTGTGTCACAAACATACTTCAGTATCGCACACTTGTGTCACAAACATGCTCACGTATCGCACATATGTGTCACAAACATGCTTTCGTATAGCACATCTGTGTCACAAGCATGCTAACGAATCGCACACCAGTGTCACAAACATACTTCAGTATCGCACACCTGTGTCACAAACATACTTCAGTATCGCACACTTGTGTTACAAACATACTTCAGTATCGCACATCTGTGTCACAAGCATGCTAACGTGTAGCACACCTGTGTCACAAACATGCTCACGTATCGCACACCTGTGTCACAAACATACTTCACTATCGCACCCCTGTGTCACAAACATACTTCACTATCGCACCCCTGTGTCACAAACATACTTCACTATCGCACCCCTGTGTCACAAACATACTTCACTATCGCACCCCTGTGTCACAAACATACTTCACTATCGCACCCCTGTGTCACAAACCTACTTCACTATCGCACACCTGTGTCACAAACATACAAACGTGTAGCACACTTGTGTCACAACCATGCTCACGTATCGCACACCTGTGTCACTAACATACTTCGGTATCGCACACCTGTGTCACAAACATGCTCACGTATAGCACACCTATGTCACAAACATACTTCACTATCGCACACCTGTATCACAAACATACTTCAGTATCGCACGCCTGTGTCACAAACATGCTTACGTATCGCACACCTGTGTCACAAACATACAAACGTGTAGTACACTTGTGTCACAAATGTGCTCACGTATCGCACACCTGTGACACAAACATACTTCAGTATCGCACACCTGTGTCACAAACATGCTTACGTATCGCACACCTGTGTCACAAACATACAAACGTGTAGCACACTTGTGTCACAAACATACTTCAGTATCGCACACTTGTGTCACAAACATACTTCAGTATCGCACATCTGTGTCACAAGCATGCTAACGTGTAGCACACCTGTGTCACAAACATGCTTACGTATCGCACACCTGTGTCACAAACATACAAACGTGTAGCACACTTGTGTCACAACCATGCTCACGTATCGCACACCTGTTTCACAAACATACTTCAGTATCGCACACTTGTGTCACAAACATGCTCACGTATCGCACATCTGTGTCACAAACATGCTTACGTATTGCACAACTGTGTCACAAACATGCTTTCTTATTCCCCATCAGTGTCACAAAAATACATAATACGTATGACGTATGACACACTTTTATCACACACAGTACACATGGCTGTTACTACCCTATTTAGCTACTCATCAAAGTTTTAGATTTATTGATGATTTTTTTTCTGTAATTTGAATACTTTTAAAGTTTCGTTTGAAAATGTTATCGTGAGAACGTTGATGGTCAGTATTTTTTTTTCAAAGTTTTCCTTAAAGATATTGAGTTCCGCTTTATTTGTATGTTTGTGTACTGTCTTCTCTTTTCACAAATACGTGAAGTACACCACACCATTTCTGTACGTACTGGGTTAAGGACACAGCAAGAAAACGGGACGGAACATCTCTCGTGGCTTGGGTTGAAATCAGAACAGTTGAAGTAGATGTTCTCATTCCAGTCCCGGTAACCGGTCGGCGTATTACTGACGCCGCAACAGTCCATCTGGAAACCGGAAGTGAGGATACAGTAAATTGTTCACTACGTATACAACGCTCTCGATCTTAGTCCAAATTATTTATTCTATAATTGAAGGGCCGGGTTTCAGAACGAACTCTAGAGGTTTTCCGAATGAATAACTGCTTATAAATTTAGTCTGCACCAAAATGATGCTATACTTAATGGGAACTATTATTCATAATTTCAATATAAGTTCTTAGCAGGTTAGTTTCGACACAATTTGTTTGCGTCTGAAATACTTATGACAGAGAGTGGATCACAGTTACCATTTCTTGAATTCCATCAATGAGATCTTGCATGTCCGGATCATCTCGGTATTTTACGATGGCATCTCGCAATGCGTCTTCCGGTACGATGTTGAGGCTCTCGAGTGTTTCCGGTGAGAAGTAGAACACGAAGACGAACACAACAAGAGCTAATTCCACCAACAACAGTAGTGTCACGAGGGTGTGATACTGAAACGGACGAGATTCACGTTGTATTACAAGCAGATATAAGGAAGTTTTTAATTTAAACACATTTTATTGAACAAATATACAAATGGATTGGACAACAAGTTATTTCAACGTGATTAAGTCCTAACATATGGTAAAATAACGTACATACATGTATATGTTTTTGGGGAACGGGAGAAGGATATGGTGGAGACGGAAGGGTGTTGGTGTGTGTGGGTGTATGTATGTGTGTGTGTGTGTGTGTGGGGGGGGGTACCCAGAAAAGAAATCGTGTAAACTATGAAAAGGATCCGCATTTTAATTTTAATAAATTATACAAATTATATGACATGCAGCCTGGTGTAGAAATTTCATAATGAACACAATCAATGCTATAAAGAAATCAGGCAAAATAATGAAAAGTAATTTCATTAGCAAATAGAAAACAACGTACACACATAAATAATAATAAGGAAAGATAATTTAAGTTAAAAGTGGATCCGATAGAGTAACATGAATAAGACACGCGGAGAAGCATTTAACTGATATTTATTTCCTACTTTCACATCACAATTTTCGTTTTGACACACTTCCTTCCTTTTGTACGTGATACTTTATAAAGTTCGGAGTGATTCAGCGCGCGCGCGCGCGCGCGTGATATTACCAGTACTTCGCGATCGAGAGCCATTTAGTTTCAAGACACTTGACCTTAGTTGATGTACTTTATAGCTTTATACTGCTATGCGCGATATCAGTTTGTATATAGGTCAAATACTATAGTACTGAAATCTGTATAAGCACTTTGATACCGAAAATGATCTTATTTCACGTATATTGTCATTTCTTTCCTGTACTGAAACCAACGTTTCCGTCTAGGTTTTCCCTAGATTTGTTTCCTTTGGGCTGGTCAACACCAGGATCTCGACAACATTGTAGGGTCTCGTTAATTTTGACTACAGTGGAAAAGAAATTTAACGTATCGAATGCATGACAGTTACAGAAAAGATGCTAAAAATATATTTCTTGTGCCGTTGCCCGGTGGTGTCTCCATATTTTTAGTCTCCGGGTCCGGATAGGAACAGAATCAAAAGAGCAACACACAGTGTAATTTTAAGGACGATGATATTTACGAATGTAAGAGTTAAAATACTGTTTGATGTTGTTTTTGTAACAATATTCATAATGTAAAAAAGAAATATGAGACGACCAATAATAGGAACATATTTTTATATGTCTTTATTCTTAACATTTGACTTACTATGGTAAGAAGGACGAGGTTTTCTCTTAGCGAGCCGAAACAGCCGAAGAAGGCGACTAGGAAGGTGACGGAACCTCCAAGACACATTATCATGACAGAGGGATCAAACAGGAGGTCTACTAGATGTAGCACGACCTTGCCCTTCAGTACCTGAATCCATATTCCGAGACCCAGAGCTCCAGCAGCTGCAACCTACAACAAAAAGACGTCATACTAAATATGTTTCTGGTCACAATGTAGGTAGGGTTTTCATACATATTGCTCGCACCTCAGCCAGAGATATCTCACGCCATACCTCATGCTAGATTTTTCTATCTCGTCCGATCTGTATGGTATCTTTACGCGATATTTCGCGGAACAGGAATGTATTCATCCGCGAGTTTATAGATATTCGTTGTATTGTTGTAGATAAAATATAGTCTACACTGTGAAATACGCTGTCTTCTTTGTAAGGACGGACTACATTGGATAAGAATGCATTCAAATATTGTATTAGAGGCCCCAAACGGGATACTTGTAGTATTTGACTAAATAGGTTTTTTTTCGAACTAAAAGGTGCGAGAACAAATCAATTACCTGTTACTGAGCGAGATCTCGACTGAGATATACCGATCTCGTTCAGTTACAGGTTATATATTTTATCATACCATATCGACCCGAAGGATTCTGACAACTACGGTCACCGCAGGACTAACGACACCAAGTGGAATGATACCGCATGAGGCATTAAGGCGGGAGCATTACTCCGAAAGATCTGAGTTTGCATATGACATACAATAATAATATACAACATTTGATATAGCGCCCTATCTAGCTAACATAAGCCACTCTAAAGCGCTATACAATATATAGATCACAATAAATATAATTAGCATATAAATTAATCAATACAATTTTGAGGAATTCCCAGGAGTTACCTTTTAATGCGCTAACTTCTAGTCCTATGCCACCTGGCTTATATCTCCCTATGTGTGTATGCCTGCGTGTGTGGTGAAGATGTAATTATATTGTGTTCTGTTTGTAGTGGGACCGTGCTTCCAACGGCATCATTTTTAGTGCCACCTCACTTGAATGCTACAGCACAAATACCGCAACATCCACCGCAGACCAATGTATACTCCACCTGGGTTGTTGACGACAACGACTACTTCGGGGATCGAACCCCGGCGGCCTGCGAGGAAGGCTGGAGTGTTAACCACTCGACCAATCCGCCCATAAACATAACACGTAACGCATTTTTTCCAAGATTTCAGGCAATAAGATTAATATTACTGACTATCTAGACTGTCAAGTGTCTCTCATATGATACGAGGGTCATTTGGCAATGAGTTTGCTTTCATTAATCCCCCCCCC